TACAGCCCGCCTGTGCGTCCCTCCCGCCCTGGGCGCGGCCCTGCTTCCGCCGGCGACGCCGCGTCGGTTTAGTGGCCCCTGGCGCCTCCCCGCGCCCCCTCGCTCGCGGCCTGGGCCCTGCTCCCACTGCCCTCCAGGGGGCGCCCTGTGGCCGCGCGGCTCGCTGGACGCTAGCGCTCCGGGCCCCTAGCGCCTCTGCTGTCTGCCTGCCTGCCTGCCTGCCTGTCTGTCTCTCGGCGTCTCCAGAGTGGCAGCTGGCTGCCTCGTTAGAAAGGGCGCTGCACGCACCGTGGCTGTGGCTGGTGTCTAGTCTCCAATGACACGGGGCAAACAGTTGCACCTTAGCCTGGCTGCCCACCCGAGTGGTGGCTGGAGCACCTGAATTACTAGCTAGGGACGTGTCGTATAAGAGCCCGCCTCAACATACCCCCCCTGGCAAACAAGGCCCTGTGGGAAACCCCAGAATCTAGGTCAGGATGGCGGGTCTGTGTGCCCTCCTGGTCCCTCCCGCCTGCTGGAAGCGCCCACAGACTGACTAGGCAAGACGGCATAGGCCAAACCCAGCCGGCTCCGCTGTTGGTGAGAATAGCATTTACACAACCAGTGAGCACAGTGGGAAGATGTTGGGCCTCAGGGGACCCCGGAACACAGGATTCTAGTCCCTGCTGTGCGTCCTACTTATCAAACCACCTGGAGCCACGGGTTCCTGCCCCCTCAGGGTCCTAGGTTCCTGGGGCAGCGGAACTGCTGCTTTATCTCTGAGGGTCCATCTTCATTGTCTTCCCCTGCCCCCCACCGCCTGCAAAGAGTGGGCGAGGGGAGCCAGTGAGGTTCACTTCCCATGGAAGGGGCTGGGTTAGGGCGAGCTGTTCCCCAGGGGGGTCTCTCAGACAGCCTGGCACACAGCCAGAGGCAGAGCATGATGCCAGCCTGCCTCTGGGGACTGGCTTCCCCAGCTGCCCGGAGCTTGCGTGTTATTGCTATTAATATGCAACACAGAAGGCCCCCAGTGGCCTTGAGCTTGATAAGTGGGTAAAGCGAGGGAAGAAACCAAAAACTCCTGCAGGGGGGCCCAGGCTGCTTTGCAAATGGCTGCAACAAGCATCAGGTAAGTTCAAAGGTGTGTCATTTGGGTAGAAAACACCCTCTGGACTTCTGTTTCAGACCCTGAATCTAATCTGTTCTGGTTAGCCACAGGAGGCCCCTGGTCAACGGGACCACGGCTACTTTTCTTTCTTTTCTACCCCATCGGGTGCATGGACCCCACCAGGATGGCCCGGGCTGGCAGAAGGAAGAGGAGCTTCTAAGCAGGAGGACCCGGCCCCTCTCAGGTGGAGACTTATCAGAGTCATCTTTGTTCTCAAGCCCTTGCCTCTGCTTGACTTGTGAGCTGTTATCAGCACCGCCCTAACCCTGTCCTTTCCAGCCCCACAACTCTGGGTCACTTGGACTTCCCCTTTCCTCTCATCCTCTACAATCAAATCCTGAGGCTCCACCTCTGCTGGGACCCCTGTGTCCAGTGTAGATGGCCACAGCAGACTGCTCAGTCTCTCTACATGCCAATCTACTGCCGCCGTCATTGTTCCACAGGACAGATCCCTGCTGTGACCTCACTTCAGGTCCCATTACCTTCCATCTCGAGTCTGACCTACGACGCCTGGAGCCTGGCTCTCCCCTGCCTCATCTCCGGCTCGTCCCCGCCTTCTGCCCTTGCTCGGGTTGTGCTCACCCACCTGCACCCTCCCCAAGGGGCTGCCCTCTTCCGCCATCCCTGGGCGGTGCTCCCGCCTCTCCGTGTTGGAGGTCCGTCTCCCACTTATTTGTCTGGCTAACTCCTTCGGAACTCACCTTCATGTCCCCTCCATATCCTGATTTCTCTGAGCACTCCGAGCTCTTCATTCATGACCCTGAAGGTTCCAGGGGACAAAAGCTCCCTCACTTGATGAAAAGGCCGTGGCACCTGGCTGAGTGTGAATGTCACTGGCGACCCTCGTTCCCCAGCAGCGATATTTTCCGTCCGAGACGTGTGACATTCTCCTCCTCCCTCCAAGCCCACCTGTGGTTGCAATCTACTGACTCCCATGAGCTCTGAGCACTTCCTATAAAGCCCCACGACCCTCCAGGGCCCAAGGGACCAAAGTCCTCTGCTCGTGAGCTGCATATGGCTAGATAGAACTTGGGAGGTGAAGTGAGAAACACATACCCACTGAGGATTTTTCCCTGGAGAAGCCCAGCATCCCTCCAGGCCTGGGGTTCTGTTGCTGAAGGGATTCTGAGAAACTATCAGTTCCTAGTGACCTAGAACTTGCTGCCCACAGGGAAGGCTGTCTTAGATGAATACCAGTTGCTTCCACGTGAGGGAGGGAGGCTGATGGAGTGTTCGCTTTGAACCCAGCTGTGTTGTTGATGAGTTATTTCGTTTACTCTGCCCCCCAAGCCCCTGCGGTAGGTAGCAGAGTGCAGGCAGGGGAGTGACTCTAGCCACTGCCCCACTCCAACCCGCCATCTTCTCTCACCGGACACCCCACGTCCGTCCCCCCAACCAGTCTCAGGGCCGCTCCCTCCAGGCACTCATCCATGACCACCAGCTCAGCCATTTTGTTTTAAAAAATAATGCAAATCTGACCACACCTCTCTCCTGCTTCTTAATGATCTTAGGAGAAAGGTGAAAATCCCCAACGGGACCACCAGGTCCCTGCCGGCCTGGCTGCTTTGTGTTCTCCAGGTTCTTGCCCGCCCTCGGCGACTGCGCCTCAGCCACACCGGCCTGGCCTGGTCGGTCACCAGAGCAGCAGCACCAGCTGTCTCCTCTCCTCCGCCTGGACGCCCCCTCCAGCGGGCAGCCCCTTAGTCATACACGTGTGTATGTGTGCACACACCTGCTCACGCACCACCTGGCTGCCTCAGACTCATTCTGGATCTCAGCTTCATCATCACTTGCACACGAAAGCCTTCCTGACAGCGCCTTCCCTCCCCCAGAGCCTAGTTAGTCCCTCCTATTATCCCTCTCGCCGCACCTGGTACTTTCCCTAGAAGGTCCCTTTGCACAACCGCCATCCTATGCTCCTCTGTGTTTGTCAGCTCTTGGTCTCTGCCACTGGCCCACAAGCTCCGGGACAGCAGGTCTGAGCCCCGGGGCCTGGCACAGTGCTGAGTGAATGAGCCAAGGCACGTGCCCTGGGCGGCCAGCACTGGAGCCGGATGTAGACCTCAAAGCACAGACCCTTCCTTCCACCTGCCGTGAGCTCCATAAACCACCATGTGTCCACCTTCCCCTTTCCACCCCGAAGGCCCTTGGCACCCAGAGGGCCCAGTGCCTGGGTCTCTAGGAAGAGCCAGGAAAGAGCCACGAGGGGGTGCCAATCTGATCCTGTGGGTTCCTCCACCTCCCCCTGGGTCACTGTCACTCCAGAGGCTTCTGGACCCCAGGAACACCTATTTTGTTTCTGACAAAGGGCCAGCGGGTCCCTCTGCAGGGTCCTGCCCTGGGGCCCATAGCAGCCAGCCGCCACTCAGAAGGGAACATGGGACAGCGACCCCGCCATAACCCCTGGCGCCGTCCTGCCTGCAGGTTGAGGCGCCATCAGTTACGTGGCCTAGTTGTCAGGTCAGCTGAGCAGAGCAGGTCCAAGAGGAGGAGCACGTTCTCCCCCATGCGTGCGTGGAACAGAAGGGACCTGACTGTTCTGTGGACTCTCGGGTCCAGCTGCTGCTTCTGCCACTCTCCGACCCTGCTCAGATACGTCCCTGCACCCGGGCCGCCGTCCACATTCCACATTCCACACCCACAGTGGTGGCGGATTTCCCAGCAGCCTCTGGTTCTCGATGAGGCATCGTGGCTTTGTTTTACTCCCTTGGGAGACACTAAGCGACAGTTTCTGGTGAGACTGGTGATGAGAAGGGGAAGGTCACGATCGTGAGGATGAGCAGCGATGGGCGCTGCCTTCCCACAGCTCCTGCGCCCCCTTGCCCAGTGCCACCTGTGGGGCCCCCTCTCCTCCCTACACCCGCTCCTCAAAGGCCCTCACAGCACAGTGTCGCTCTCTGTATCTACGGTGAACGGTTTTCTGGCCCCAGGAGGGGACCCGCCCTTACCAGCACGAGCAAGAGCCAAAATTCTACCGCAGGAAAAGAACATTCCCCTTCCCCTGGCAGCTCCATCAGTGTGCCCGGGCCGACAGGGAGCTGGGCCTTTCTCCTGGCACACTTCGTCTGAATAGATTTTTCTAAGTCGGGGTTTCTACACTTGGACTCCACTGACCTTCAGGGCAGGTCACTCTTTGTCTGGGGCCTGTCCTGGGCACTGTGGACACCGGGCAGCACTCCGGACCTCTTCCTCACCACCAGTCATGTCCACGCTGAGCTCAGGTGTAGCAAGTGTCCCGCCGGGGGCAAAACTGCCCCTTGGTTGAAACCACTTCTCTGCAGATGCCCCGGGGCTCCCTGAGTCCTGGCGCAGCAAGGGGCTGGCCCATCACAGGAGATGGTACTGGGAGGGACATGTGATTGGTGGCCGCCCTTTGCCTGGAAGCCTGTTCCTGGGAGACCTGGGGGTGGATGCGGCAGAGCAGCTGGCCCCCGGCCTCTCCTCAGTAAGATTCTGACACAGGCGTTTTAACAAGGGCGCTCAGGGTCCCTGTCAGGAGCACGCAGCACCCACAGAATGAATGGCGGGTGGGGACTTCTCCTGGGACACGGCTAGCTCTGAGTGCCCTCTTGCCCGTGACACTTCTGGAGGTGGTCACCGAAAGCTCTGTGGCGCCGTCGGGTCAGGGCAGCCCACCGCGTCTCTGCGGGCCCTGCCCAGGGCCGGGCTTACAGGTGGCGGATGTGCAGCGCTGGGAGTGAGGCCCCCCACTCCCTCTGTGCCCTGGGCAGGTCCCCACACCTGTCCTGGAACCTGGCCCTTCCTCCTCCGTAGGGGAGGGTAAGGATAACGGAGCACGCACCGTCCGGTGGGATGCAGCGCCAGCACTCCCTGTTAGCACTGTTGGCACCGATTTAATTTACAAGAATGGAGGCAACAGAAAGCTTGCGGAGCACGAGGGTGACGGAGCCGGATTCGTGCACCTGTCGGACCCTCCTGGAGGTAAAGCGACCAGGGGCGTTGCTTGGACAGACATCTCAGAGTGGACGGGCCTCCTGTTCCCGGGTCACATGTGGACGGGGAGGGTCAGGAGAAGGACGGCCCCCCGCCCCAGGTCCGTCCGAGGGTCTGCGTGGCCGTGACCAGCCCAGGGGAGGCCGTGCAAGCTCGTGGAGCGAAACGACCAGGGTGGCCCTTGAGAAGCTGAAGGGGACGTGGGGGGCCAGGCGGAGAGGCTGGTGAGACCTGAGGTGGAGCTGCTGCTGTGGCCAGGACAGGGACGAGCTCTGTCCCAGCGCTCCAAGGGGTCGTTGGGAACCAGGCTCAGTGAGTCAGCATGGGCCAGCCATCTGTGGGGCGAGCGTGGCAGCCGGGCCAGGGCCCTCTCGCTCCCCCTGCCCTCCCCCAGTGACACTTTAAGGAGCTCAGCCCCCCACTTATAAAATGGGGGTGATGCCAAGAGGTGGGAGACGGAGGCACCCATGTGGGTTTCAGGCTGGAGTGTCCTCAGGGTCCCCTTCATCCTCCGGCTCATCCTCTCCCTCTGCCTGGGACTGTCCCTCCGTCTCCTCCTCTCCCTCTGTCTCCTCCTCAGGCTTCAGACTTGGCCGTTGCTGCCAGAGAGAGACAGAGCAGAATCATGTGTGAGGGCAGGCCTGCCCTGCGCCCTGGCAGTTAAGCCCCGAGGCCAAAAGCAGCCAGTGGGATGGGGCCGGGTCCGAGGGCCGGTGTCCACACAGAGCCAGGCGGGCATGCATGGTGGGTACAGTGGGGGCCCAGGTGCAAGTCCTGCTTCTGCCGCTTGCTGCCTGGGCGACCTCAGCCTGCCCCTCCTGAGCCTCCTGGGTCCCCTCACCTGCACACCTCACAGGGCTGTGGCTGGGGTTGGAAGCAAGCTACGGACCCTGCGGTGCTTTCTAAGCCCTGACTCCCAAAGTGCTGGCCAAGTTCAGAGACCACGAGTCGGAAGCAGGGAGGTTGCAGAGGAAGGAGAGGCCAAGTTCGGTGAACCTTAACCCCTCCTGTGAGGGGCACCTTTTGGGACCTCCAGCCCCAAGAACCGTGTCTGTGAGCCACATTGCACCATGGGAGGTGGCCAGTGTCACCCTTGGCTTGTGGAGAGCCGGACAGCCCGGGGCGGGGGGGTGCCCGAGAGCCCAGGGCTACGGTCCAGTCTCACCCCTGCCGCACATGGAGGGAGCACCCCGTCCCACCCCTGAGGCACAGAGAGTGTGAGAACACAGTCTGAGGTCCCACGCTTGCTTTACAGCTCATCTGTCACTGTCTTGCCATTCTCAAGACTTTTTGAACACGGGGTCCTCTGTTTTCACGCCACACTAGGCCACACCCCCGAAAGGTGCACCTGGTCTTGTGCACAAAGGCGGACACAGACGCACACTCCCGAGCTCTTTCCCTTCTGCGCCCCTCATTTACACCCGCCCATCCTGGCACCCTGTCTGTGGGTCTCTCAAGGCGGTGGCCCAGAACGACAATGTCCTTCCCTTCCTCTGTCCCTTGGTGCGGAAGAGGGCCTGGAAGGTGACCAGACACCACCTTCAGAGCTAATCTCCTCAGCTGCCGAATGAAAATGAGGGACCAAGAAGGGAAGTGGCCAGTCTGATTGTTACAGGCAGGAAGTGCTTCAGAGCCGGGCCGTGGACACCGAGCTCAGCTCGGTCACACCCCTGACACCAGAATGTCCGCCACACCAGGAGGTCACAGCCCCGCCTCGCGGGGCCTCAAGGCTTCCTCTTTTCTGCACCTCCCTTAGCCCCCACCCTCACTCGCCTGGTCCTGCACACGGTCCAGACACCCACCGTGGGGTTGGGGGAGGGGGGGTGGGGGTGGAGAGGAGGGTTCTACAAGCATGGAGCTCAGCCCCTGCCCTCACGGGGCTGGCGTCCGTCTGCAGGCTTAGGGTTCCTCCGGAGGAAGGAGTCATGTCGGCCTCCCCTTGGCCAAACGGACACATCAAGGTTCATCCGACAAGGCTCCGTGCTCGAGGCCGCCCAGCAGGGCAGCGGACGGGCAGAGCCCGGCGCCAGGCCTCCCGCCCGCCCCCGCGGCCCCGACGGAGGCCCTTACGAGCTTGGCCTTCCTCAGGGCTTCCGCCTCCTTCTTCTTCTGCTCGGAGAAGATGATGTCGAAGAACTCCTCCTCGGCCTTGCGGACCAGCTCGTCCAGGTCCACGGCCGTCTCCTCCTCCTGCAGCTCCTCGTCCCTGCCCTCCGACCTGCCTTTCTCCTTCAGCCGCATCTCCCGGTGCCGCGCCTCCAGGATCTTCTCCCGCCGGGTCTCCCGCTCAAATATCTGGGACATGCAGGGACGGAGAGGCCCGTGGGAAGAGGCAGGCAGCCAGGGGTCCCCGCACGGGGGCCAGGCTGGCTTCTCCTCGCTGTGCTCACAGCAGCCTCCAAAGGGGTCTGGACTCAGGGCTAACAGGAAGGGCAGAGGGCTGAATGTTGGGGTCGGAAGGTGGGGGTGGGGATGACCGGTCACTCAGTTCCAAGGGGCTCCAAGAACATGAACGGCGTGAAGAATGCCTTCCGCATTCGTACAACATGAAGGACTGGCCCCAGGTGGGACCGCATCACAGGCACAGCCGGGAGGCCCCCCGGGTCTCCACACTGGGGTTTTCAGCACCATGTTCCGCCCAGTTCCGGGGGTGGGGGTGCCTCCCGGGGTCCCTGCCAGGGCGAGGTGTAGTGATGGATCTCAACCCCCGGGGGCTGTCCCCTGCCACCTGTCCCCTGCCACCTGTCCCCTCTACTGGCAGCCTCCGAAGCCTCCATTTGCTGGGTTCTGCTGCAAAAAATATGCAGCATCCGGCAGAAGGAAGGCCTGTGTGAGTGCGGTTGGGAGGGAACGTGAGTGTCTCACACGAGGTGGACGGCCCCTTGGCCATCGCACCTCACATGCCACGTGGTGCGCTTGAGTGTGATACTGTCGAGTTACACAGTCACGTGCTTCCGGTTTTGTAATAAAAAAGGGGCGTTATTTGGGCCGGACCCTATACATTGCCTGGAACTGGACAAACTGAGCCAGTCAAATAAAGCTAAAGCCTGAGGAGGCGAAGTGACTGGCCCAAGGCCACTTCACTACTTAGTGACCAAGCCGGGGAGGGTTCAGACCGACATCCCCTCCCCGACTGGACCCATGTGCAGTGCTCATTTCAGGAGGCCACGCTGCACCCCCAGAGTGTCCACCCAGGCGGTGAGGGGGAGCGGCCCTGCGTGCCCCCCGACCCGCCCACTCTGCAGACACAGGCCGGCGCCGGGCACTCACAGAGGTCGCTGTGTTCTTCTCGTTCCTCTGCAGTGTGCAGAGCCCGCTGGAGACCTCCAGCAGGGTGGTGGTGCCCAGCTGGGAGCCACAGGCCACGAAGCACCCGTTGTCCTGCACCCGGAGGCAGAAGAGGGCCTCGTCGCACACCTGCAGGGAGGGCCGGGCGGCCCCACTGAGGAGGCGGAGGAGCAGAGCAAGCCCGTGTCTGGCTCCCTGGCTCCCGGAGAGGCCCGTTCAGACACCCACGGTGACTCCATGACCCGCCGCAGGACAAAGTTCACACTCTGAGACTGGCTGGCGGGACCTTTGACCCCTCGCCCCAGCCTCATCTTCCACCTCGCCCCCCACACCCTCATCTCCCCCTTCAGCCTCGCAGTCAGTCACCCATGCTGCCAGGGCCTGAGGACCTGGACACAAGGGGAGGGGGTGCACATGACCTTCAGGCTGAGGGCAGGGTCACACTGCTTGAACACAAAGTCCCAGATGTCCAGGGTCCCGTCCATCTTGGTGGTGAAGAAAACCGCTGGCCTCACGGGGCTCCAGGCGCCATCGGTGAGGTAGGCCATGTGGTACCTGGGGGGGGGGGCGGTGCCAGCAGTCAGGGACCTCCGTGGCTGGGAGGGGCGGGGAGGCTGCCGAGCCACAGCTCTGCTCGCCCAGCCCCTCCTGGGCTGCAGGGTCTCCGTGCTGGCCAGGACGTCCTTTTCCTGTGTCTGACTTTGCCAACCTACAGCTCATAGGCTGTACTCACTGCAAAGGGCTCCGCCCTTCCCGCAGGCTGGCCGCTGGCCGTTGTCCACAGCCAACCCCAGGGAACGGGCAGGTGTTGCTGCACCTGCGTGCTGAGACTCACTGGAGGAGGGAGACGCCCGGAAGAGTTCCTAACACTGGGACCAGGGGCGGGTTACACCTCCCACGAGGTGTGACCACGATTTGACATGCTTTCTGCAGGGAGGAAGGACACTGGACCCTCCTCATCCTACAGCACACACACAGACTGACGTGGAACAAAGTAAAGACTGAGATGCACGGCCCGAAGCCACAAAGCTCTCAGGAGAAAACCCCGGGAAGAAACCCCTCAGCACTGGTCTCGGCCGCGACTCTTCGGACTCGACGCCAAAAGCTCGGGCAGCAGAAGCAGAGATAAGCAAGAGGGAGGACGTCAAACTGAAAGCTCCTGCCCAGCAAAGGAAAAAATGGTCAACAAAATGAAAAGGCAGCCCCCGGAAGGGGAGAGAATGTTCGCACACCATGTCTCTAGTAAGGGGTTACTATCTAAAGTCTATAAGGAACTCGTACGACTGAACGCAAGGGAAAGAACCTGGTGGAAATGTGGGCAAAGGACCCGAGCAGACATCCCTCTGAAAAAGGCACAGAAATGGCCAGCAGGTACAGGAAGAGGAGCTCAGCACCACCAGTCATCGGGGAAATGCAAATCAAAACCAGAGCCAGACTGGACCTCGCCGGTTATAAAGGCTGTTGTTAGATAAGCCAAAGAAGGCGAGTGCTGGCGAGGGTGTGGAGAAAAGGGAACCCTCCTCCTCCACCGTCGGTGGGAATGCAGACTGGTGCCGCCGCTGCGGAAAACAGTGCGGGGTCCCTCAGAAAATGTGCGCATGGGGCATTTTGCCATAAAGATCCTGAATGTCTGTTTACAGATCCAGTAAATGATTGAATAAATAACGTAGAACCTGAGTTGGGCAGCGCCCCTCCCCCACCTCCAGCTGCTCATTGCAAGACCGGACCGCGCCACCGTGCACTGAGCTCCTAGCATCTTCAGTCGAAACAACCAACAACACGGAGCTGCCAGCAACCCAGGTGTCCGCCGGGCGCCACATAAATGGGTTAGCAAACTGTGGTCACCCACCGGGAGACCTGGAGCAAGCGGCTCTGCCTCCCTGCAGCTCGGTTCCCTCACGCAAACGAGGAGGTGACCGGAGTACAAAGCTACCCTACTGCTAGCGTTGTCCTGCCGGCTACAAAAATTCACCGTGGCTGTTGTCATCGCCGACCCAGGCGGTCTGCAGTGTACCCCTTTGCAAAGTGCCTGAATGAAGCCACTTCCTAGCACGAGCTTGGGTGTCTTCTCCCCTTTTTGGGTGGACACACAAGTGTTCAGGTCACTCCTGGGCTGGGCTGCCCCCTCTGTCCCTCCTCCCTCCCGCACCATCCCTCTCCCACCTCCAAACCGCCCCCTCACTTGGTCCACATGATGGACGACTCGCGGCTCTCCTCTGACCAGATGCGGGCGGTCCAGTCACCAACGGTCAGGAAGTTCTTCGGGTAGAACGGATTCCTCTGGAGGGCGTAGATGGGGCCGTGGTGGCCGGAGAAGGTGCACACGATCTTCTCGGCCGATGTCTTGGCCTTGCGGTTACAGGAGATGACGATGCCTTGCTCGGTGCCCACCATGAACTTGGTTGGCTGTGGAGGGGGTGGCAGGGGTGGAGTCTCGGTGGGACACCAGCTCAGGCCTGGCCGGCACGGCCAGCAGGTTCTGGGGCGCGTCTGCAGCTCCAGCCTCTGCTCAGGCTGTGTCCCGCCTGCACCTCAGGGGCTGCCCCCACTTCCCAGCCTCGTCACCCTTCTTGAGAACCTGCTCAAGGGCCCTGTGCTTAGTGAAGCCCCACCCTGACTCTTCCGGCTCTGAGGACTCATCCCCAGCCCTCTCCGTGCTGCACCACGGTGTCCGCGAAGTATCTCTCATACAGATCCTGAATGCCTATTTACAGGCAGAGCAATCGATGAAATGAATAGCATCTCCCTGAAGCTACGGACTACGCCGGGCACCCAAGTTCACGGCAGCACCGTTCACGTGCTCAGAGGGGAAAGCAGCCCAGGCGTCCAGCGACAGATGAATGTGAAACCAAAAGTGGCCTGTCTGTGCAATGGAGAATTACTCGGCCTGGAAAAGGAAGGACATCCCGGCACCTGCTGCCACGTGGATGAACCGCGAGGACCTTATGCCGAGTGAAACAGGCCAGTCACAAAAGAACAAACACCCAACTGAGCGCACTTAAGTGAGGTGCCTGGAGGAGGGGCATTTGCAGAGATAGGAAGCAGAGGGGCTGGGGGAGGGGACGCTGGGGAGTGGCTGTTTTACAAGTGCGGGACCGAGTATGCGCTTAAAAATGGCTGCAATGGTAAATTTGAGGTTCGGTGCTTTTGACTACAATTAAAAAAAATGACAGCTACAAGTTGGGGGCGCAGGTCAAAGGAAAATGAAGAAACTTGGCTTGAGAGGACCTGAAAAGTAAGTAATAAAGGCAACTGCAGGGCGCCCGCAGGCAAGTAGGGGAGATGAGCTCCCCCCCACGTGGATGGCTCCTCACGCCTCCAGCTTCCGACAGCAGTGGGGTCACGGGGGGGTCTGGGCCGTGGGGTCGGAGCCCCGGGTGGTGGCCCGGCTTCCTGTTCTATAGCATATGACTTGACCTCACGAAAACTCATTGCTTCTCTGAGTCAATTGGGGGTAACAACTTCACCTCCCAACACAGGCACAGGCGATTCTACAAGCTCATTCCACAAGGCAGTACAAGTGTCCAGCTCAGACTGTGCCACTGGTGACCAGCCATGGGGGACGTGGGGACTAGTAGCGGCGTAATCGTTACATCTAGCTCTTGGCCCAGAAATGCCTGGTCCCAGGACAGAATGGTTTTCTGAGTCCTCCCTCCCTTGCCCCCTGTGCCCCGGGCTGGGGGCGAGTTAAGCCATCTTTTACCTCACCCCACGGGCATTCATCCACCAGCCTTGGGGGAGGGTTCCCAGGGCAAGGGTGAGGCCGGAGCCCTTCCGCCTCTCCAGGGCTAAGAAATGCTGTCGCAGGAACCAAAGGCAAACCAGTGACCATTCCAGGGGGCAGCCAGGACAGGGCTTCACTGAGACATAAACAGGAACCAGCCCAAGCCAAGAGCTGTCAAAGAAAGCTGCCCCCCCCACACCCACTTTGGAGGGAGTCCCCGTTTGCTGCTTCTGGAAGCTCCCCTCTTCTCACACATTCCCATTGCCGTTCACCTTTGGTCTTGACTGTTGGAATCTCAGCCACTGAATTCCGTGATCATGCCTGTGCTGTGGTTTGCCAAGCACGTCCCTCCAGGAAGTGAACTGACCAGCCCGGGGTCTCACGCAAGGCCAAGACAGCGCCTGGCCTCCTGATGTTGGTTCGGCGGTCCTCTTACATAGAAGGGGCTTTTCTGGAATCTGGTCCTGTCTGACAATTTGCCTTCTGTCCAGCCCAGCCACTAGCCAGGGACTTCTGGGAATGAGGACGGCTTCCTTCCTCAGGAAGCTCTGCTGCCCCCTGCTGGCAAGTCCTTGTAAAGACCCCACCCCAGTTCTAGGAAGATGCTTCTTGCAAGGAGCAAGGTAAGCAGCAGCCCCAGGTCCAGGTGTCTGCTGCAGCAGCCACAGCCTGCTCTGGGCTCCAGCTGCCCTGGCGACAGGTGACAGAAACAGGGGAAGACAGAGGAAGGGACACTCACCAAAGTAGCCTCAAACTCCAGGGAGATGGCCCCCAAGGCATTTTCGATCTGCTCCTTTTTCGTGATGTCCATGATCACCACCTCAGTGGGCTCGCTCAGCTTCCGAATATCCCACCACATGACCTGATTGACGGGGGGTGGGGCAGCTTTGAGACCTGAGGTCCTCCAATTCTCTTGGCTTATTACGTCTCCCCCACCTCCTCTAAACCCCTGGCGTCTGACTCTGTGGTCATCAAGGTGTGTGACAGGGTGTGAGACAAACATGCTTTGAGAGTGACTCCTCTGGTCCACAGTCCCAAACCTGTCTGGTCATCAGAGTCATGCACAGGCGTCATAAAATCCACATGCTGGGGCCTCGCCCCAGACCTGCCGAGTCAAATCACCAGGCGTGGGCCCCGGCATCTCTGTTCTCACAGGCTCCCCACCAGGTAGCCTGCACTTTGCACCTGCAAATGCGCCTGCACTTTGACCCAGAAACCCCACTGCCAGGAACGTACGCTGTCCATGCACCTGCGCATCACTCTTTGTTACATGTTTTGGTGGCGACAAGGTATTGAAATCCACTCAGAAAAATGATGCCACACCCAAGGCGGTCCCTAAACGGCCAGGGCAGCGCTCTACGAAATATGCAATCCTCTCCAAGATCTGTTCAGTGAAGAACACCAAGGGCAGATCCACACGTAAGGTGTGCAAAGAGCAGGCAAAGACGACAGGTGCGTTTGCCTCTGTAGGCAGAGACACCCCTGCAGGCTGATGAAGATGCTGTAGGGGGGGGGTGCCCGCTGGGAGGGCACCTGGGAGGCTCGCCTGCCCTTTTGTTCCTGTTGTGTTCCGTCCCCCGCGCATGTGTTGCCTATTTTTCAATTTAAAAATAAGAGGCAAAAGAAAAACATTCCCTGGCCACCCCAGCGGGGAGCCCGGTAACTCACTGCTCCCCACTCCCTCACCCCTACAGCGCCTGGCCTGCCAGGACCCGCCCCTCCGTGCCTGTCCGTCGGTCGATGCCGAGAAGCACTCCGTGCCCGTCTTCGACTGCAGCCAGATGGTGCCGTACACGGGGTCTCGATGGCTGAACTCGATGGTGGACAGCTCGGCCACCAGGCTGCCCTTCCGGGTGTCCCAGCAGGCTGGTGGGGAGGGAAAGGAGGGGCAGGTGAACGGGGGCACAGGCTTCCTTCCCTGGTGCGGGGAGAAGGGCTCAGGGGGCGCTGCTGCTCTTGGTTTGGCAGAAATGTGGGTGTTTAGAACCAGGGCTGGGTTCAAACCCTCCAAGTTTCCTGGCAGCCCCTGAAGCCCCCACATGACCTTTGTGGAAAGACTGCCAGAGGGCACGCTTTGCTCATTCTGCTGAGCCCCTGCCACGTGTTGAGTGCCACCCTGGGCCCTGGAAAGCCACTGGGAACCGCACAGGCACTGTCCCTGGGAGGCAGGAAGGGGACCTGCAAATACAGCCCACGATGCAATTTCTCTGGTGGGGGATACAAGGGGGTGGTCCAGGAAAGCTTCCTGGAGGAGGCAAGAGGAAACTAAGACTGAAGAAGAGCCTGGGATGGAGTGAGCCAGGCAGAGAGAGGAGAGTCTCCACCACGAGGAGAAGCTCCTGAAAGTAGAAGCGCCTTTGGGTAAAGCTCTCCTGCTGCAAAAACTCATTCCTTTTATCCTCTGTGCCTTTGCTGCTCCAGTGGGAAAATAAAACTCACACAGGCAGCTTCGCCCTTTACTGCAACCCGTTATTAGTGAGCCTCTCTCCTGCTCTCCCGAAAAACACTGAAGCTTATCCGCTTTTTGTCATAATAGATTTTGTTCTCGTCCCACAAGGGAACAGCGAGGACCCACCCCGTCACTCAGAGCTGTTTCTAGGAAAGCCGACTTTGTAGAACAAACCACGAAAGTACTTGATCCTTAAGTGTTGATTTATGGAATCCGAGTCTAGAGCATTTGCCTGGCACCTGCCTGGCCCGGAAGGGGGTTTTCTCAGTGGAGCCTGCTCTGCTTGGGCAAAGGAGAGCCGGAGGGTGGGTCCTGCTCCGGTGGTCCTCACAGGCAGTGGAGCCTGGGAGCCGGGACTGCCCCGGGTGGGCGTGACAGCCACCGAGAGAGCGATGAATGAGCAAGGCAGGGCTCCTGAATAAAGGAAAGCAGCACTGGCTTTCAGAGCCCTGGCACCCGGGGGCCGGGGCAGGGAGGGTTACATCCGTCCCCTTCCCTGGCAGCCTCCCCAGGACGGCGGCAGCAGGTCTGAGAGGGAGATCGGAGGTGTCAGCGGGTCACAGACTGTTTCTGAGAAGAATGGACCCAGCCGATCTGGCTCCTACCCCCCCCCCACCCGAAGGAAGAGGGGAGGCCAAGAGGCTGTGCAAGCAGGAGGGTGGGGAGCCCTGTCACGCCCACTGAGTCTGGCTTGGGGTGCAGATGGGGGTGGGACGAGGGTTAGGCTGCTCCAGGGCCAGCGTGGGGGGGGGGGTGGAGGGCGGGCGGGGGTTCTCTTCTGATTCCACTAATGATCCAAAGCCTCGGTTCCCTGGGTGTGGGAGCAGCATCGACAGCGGAGTGAGCACCTCCGAAAGCCTTCTCTTCCATAGAAGCAGTGAGAACACTAGCGAAAACTGTCGCAGTCGACTTTTTCACAGCTCTGGAAATTTGGCAAAGGCTCTCGGGAATCCAAAAAGTGTTGTTTCAAGGAAACCAGCTGACTCTTGGTAAGAACAGTGAGTGTTGTTGCATTTTGACTTGCCCTACTTAGAACCCCACTCTCTCGGCTCCCGGGAGCCTTGAAAAAGGACACCCTGCTTTCCTGGGGCAACTGCGGCCCGGCAGCCAGGAGGGGGCGCTGTGGGGCTGGAGCCCGCTCAGGTCTCCTGTCCAATAAATTGTTCTTTGACCTGCCTGGTGCCCCCTGCCCCAACAAGACCCCACACGCAAGGCTGTCTATTCAACTCGACTTAGAGCTTGCCCAGTGAGAAAGGTCTTCACCGAGGCAATTGGCGGTTAAGAACCCGGCCCCTCTCACCGATCTGCCCGTTGTAGCAGCCTCCCAGGAGCACGTGGGAATCTTTGGGGTTGTACTCCAAGGTGATGACAGGGGACGATGGCTTCAGGACAATCTCAGGCCTGTTGGGGTTTTCTGAAAAGCAGGGGGGAGGACTCCCAGAATATCCCACCAGGCCTGGAAAGGGAAACACGGGGGCCCAACAGGAGGGGGGCCTGGAAGCCTTTCTCTGGCCGCTCCCCCCACAGGCCCCATGGCCAGAACTGACCCTAGGTGCCAGGCTCTGCCCTCGGAGTGAGCCCCTCTGTCAACAAAGGTCCCTGCTCTGCGGGGGGGGGGGGGCTGGGGAAGGGGGCGCAGCCTGCTCCTATTGGCCATGAATTAAGGACCAGCACTTGGGAAGGCAGGACGGAAGTGAGCCCCCTCCCCCCACCTTGGGCCCCTTCTCAGCCTGCCAGGTGTTCTATCTGATTCGCTCTTCAGGCTCCCAGAATCGGGACTTTGTGGGGTCTGGTCTTGAACGACCTGCGTACAGACCTGGAGATGAAGGGGGCTACCCGCTTCTCTGATATGGCTTCGTGGCCGGGCCTGAACCCCCACGGGGATGGATGAGAGGTTTCCTCCTGGCCCCCGGCCCCTCCCCTGGGGCCCCCCAGCCCTCTCCGCTCCTGCTGCCCTCAGCTGTCCCTGGCCACTGAGCCTTTCCGGTTCTCACCCAGGTCCCAGATGTAGGAATCATAGCTCATGCCCTGAGGCGCCCGTTGAAAATTCAAGCAGGAATAGGCCACCGCCAACTTCTTGCTGCCATCAGGGTGCCAGGACAGGTGTGTGGCCGACCTCTTGATCTCCTGGGGATCCCTTTAGGGGTGAGCAAAGGGCGGGAAGCTGCAGCGAAAGGCTCCCCATGTGTCTTACTGAATCTTTTCTTAAAAACATTCCAACATATTTGAGCACACTTAAGCATTCACTCAGAGAAATTTGTTTTAAAAACAAGCTTACAAGACTTTCTGAATCAGAAAACCACTTATATGAGCCATAAATAAAGGCTGATAATAGCAATGGAAAGGACATACTAAGTTCCAGCTTGCTTATGGAATCATGGTTGGGGACACCCACCCGCAGAGGGGACGGGGGTGGCCAGCACCGGCCTGACTCTTGAAATACCTGAAAACATTGATGGTTTTAGCTGAGGGGGCCTCTTCTGTCACCTCCACTGTGTCCTCATCAACAAAGTACTCCTGGTAGATGTCGATGGCATTGTTCTGCTTGATGCAGTGCTCCATGATCTGAGGGGCACACCGGGTTCTTAGCAGTAGAGGGGGGTCCTTTCCCCGCCTGCCAGCCCACATATTTTCATGGGGCAGTATCACCCCCAGTGGGGTGGAAATTGATTCTCAGCGGTAAAATAATATTATCTTTTAGGTACAAAGCCCAGATATACACCCAGGACATGAACGGCATACTTATGGCATTGGAAACTGGAATTTCAGGGGGGGAGGCAACTAGGAGAAGAATGTTGTCCTTGGGGACAATGACAACAGGGTGAAGATACGGGGCTCCAGCCAAAGAGAAGTATTTGTGATTCCGTCCAGAGCACCCATCTTTTGGCTCCTTCGCCCAGAAAGCCCTCCCCATTATTCCAAATGGCCATCACGGCAAAGCCCCAGCTCAAGTGCCACCTCTCCCAGGAAGCCTTCCCTGATCCCTACAGCAGGAAACCAGCTCTCTCTCCTTATGGGGCAAAATGGCCAGTCATCCTGTCTTTTACAGCCTGTCTTTCTGCATTCTGTGGTGCTCTCTCTGCATTTGTCTTTGACCTCTGGCAGATTATAAACTCTTTGGAGGAGGATGTACGCGAATTTTATTTTTGTACTCTCTTACTATGCCTGGCTCCAGAAGTTCAGACCAAATGTGTCGAATGAACGAAAGTTCCCTACTGGTAGGTAGCTGGTGGGCGGGGTTCTCTGGGTTCTCTTTGCCCCAAGGGGCTACTTCCAGACCCCTTCTAAAGCCTGTTCAGCCCCTGCACCTCCCTGCCCTCCCCTCAGGTGGGCTGTGGTGGACTGTCTGCCTGCTCCCAGCCACGAGGTCCCCTCCGTAGCTTGTGTTGTTCCCGAGTAGCCGCAAGGGCTGAGCACAGGCCCTGGCACGTCAGGGCTTGGCACGTGGTTGAGGACGCAGAGGGGCGGCAGCGGCCCCGACTGCTAGAGCTGGAGAGGGCCTCACCAAGCCCAGCTGCGTGATGGCGTTGATGTAGTTCTCATCTTTCTCCACCTTCTTCCGGAAGCGGATCGTCTGCTCCAGCTCCAGGGGGTTCACATCCTTGGGCCAGCCCCCCTCCATGTGGTTGACACCCCGTGTCTCCATCTCGATTCGCTCTGTGTTGGCCTGAACGGAGAGCCCCGGGTGAGCACGCCCACCCCGGGTGTGGGCATTCAGCCACCTCTGCAGGCCAGGATCCGGAGCCCTGAGTGCCCGGGGAGGGACCCGAGAAGTGTCTTTGGCCAAAACCACACGATTTTCAGGGACCGGGAAGGTGGTCGCTGGTCCTCAGGGGTCACAGGCAACCGCGAACGCGCTACTGTGTGGAACCAGCAGCTTGGCCACTGATGCCCTGGTCATGGAAAACCCACCTCTGACTTTATCCGAACCCCACCCATGTGTTCTGTGAGACCCCGGAGGAGGAAGAAGGGACTCTCCTTCTCCGTCCTGCTGTTTACCATGTCACGGGAACAAGACGCAGGAACAGTTAGGAGTCTGGACTTGCTTCGCCCACTCTCTGCGGCAGGGAGGAGGGCAGAGACCACTCTGACCCCTGCACTTCCCAGGGCGCCTTCTTCCCCTGGTCCCCACTTTAAACATTGCGGCAACATATTTGCAACATAAATTTCACCACTTAAAATGCTGGGGGTGCTCAAGTCGGTGGCATCAGGGTGGCATCAGGGACATCCACAGCACGGGGCCACCGTCACCGTTCTCTGCTTCCTGAACTTTTCCGGCACCTCCCTCGGATACCCCATGCCCCCTCGGCTGTCACTTCCCTCTCCTGTCCCTTTTGGGGCCCGCTGTCACAGACGCTGGCCGTCTTCGCAGGGCAGAGCTGCTGACAGGAGACCCTAACATGTTGTGGCCTTTGTGGCAGCCATCTCTACGCCAGGGACAAGACTGCCCTGTCCCCCGTGGCAGCGATTAGCCCTGAGACACACTGTGTTTGTTCCTTTGGAACTGTGACTCATCGGAATCTTTTACCCGTCCACTGAGTGTTTTGATTAAAGCGGAGCTCTGATTCTCACTCGGCTGATCTGGGGCGCAGTAAATGGGTTATCTCCTCCCGTCTAATTTTCTCCCGGCAGCCCCCCACATAACCAGGAGCTGACCACCTGGTTCAGACAGGCGGGGAACTCGCCGGGAGACTGATCAGCAACGTGACCCAGTTCTCCTGTCCCGGAGGCCCCTCTGACCAGAACTTCCAAGGGCAACCTTTCCTTTCTCAGCTGGGCATTGCCTGTGGACGGAAATCTCCGCGTCCTCACGCTCCGGCTGGCGTGGCTTAGTTGGTCGGGCAGTGCCTCGCAAAGCAAAAAGTCGCTGGCTCAATTCTCGGTCAGGGCATGTGCCTGGGTTGTGGGTCCGGTGCCCCCAGGTGCCCCCATGGGGTGTGTACGAGAGGCAACCGCTCAATGTTTCTTTCTTGTATCGATGTTTCTCACCCTCTCTTTCCCCCTCCCTCCCCCTCTCTCTAAAAAAAAATAATAGTAAAATAAAACGCCACTGCTCAGAAACCTCTCCCACCTGTACCGAATGCCTAAAATGACTCTAGTGTCTTAAAAGGGAGGCCAGAGGCCCTGGGAGAGAGAGCATCTTGACGGGCACTCGCCTGGCCCAGGGACTGCTGGGTGCTGGGTCTGCCCCTGGCCACCACTTCCAGCACACACAGCGGTTTACTGTACCCGGCTTCCAGGTGGCTGGAGTGGCCTGGGCCAGGCCCGGGGCACGGACCCACCTCGTGTTCTGACATGCTGGTGGAGCACTGGATGCCCTTGTCCACGGGGTTCCGCTCCACGTACAGCTCGGCCAGCTCCGGGTTGGGCGGGATGTCGATGTTCATCTCTGCCTGGCGGTCGGAGAAGTTGCATTGCTTGCCGAACTCGCTTCGCTTCTTCACATACACATACACAATCTCCATGGTAACGGCCACTGTGGGGACAGAGGGAGAGTGTGCAGTGAGGGGTCTCGCCTGGCTGCTGCTCCCCGGTCTCCGTGGGTCTCACCTGGAGGGGCACGGCTCCAGGTTCCCGATCTGGTTGAGGGGAGGGGTTCTAGGGGATTTGTCCAGAAGCCGAATCTTTATTTTAAGAATTCATTCACTGAATAATGAGGACGTGCTAGGCATTACCTTGCTCAGCCCTTGCCACTGCCCTCTGAGTGGACCATAAAATCTCCATTTCACTCTGGAGGAAGCTGATTCTCAGAGATGCCCCGAGGGCCGTGTCCAGATCACAGAGCTAGCAAGTGGCAGAGCTGGTCTGCCCGGCTCCAAAGCGCTCACCCCTGATGGGATCCAGTCTTTACTGAGCCAGCATGTTCATCGCAAAGCAGGAGGAAGTCCTGATGGCAATTGTGTTGGGCTACATCCCTTGCCAGGCACTGGACCTGACCATACGGCACACAGGTTTGAGAGCCTTGGGCCTTTCTAGAAAGTCTCCCACTCAACCACCGGGTTGTCCAAAGACTCACCTATTCCTGAGTTCTAGGTTATTGAACTTGACCCTCTGGGGAAGCCCCTGGAAACTCCTCCCACCCCACACTGCTCCGCCCAGGATGGGAACAGGGAAGGCGGGGCCACTTCCTCCACAGGCAGAATAGTCAGGCCTTAGAGAATCCCTCTGATTTGTGCTATGGGTCATGAACAACACTGGGGAATTGGAAAGCAGGCTGGGCCATCCGTACTTCAGGTTCTGGCCTTGACACTCACTAGCTGTTTGACCTTGGCCGGGCCACTCAGTCATTTGGAGACAATTGGGAGGAGCGTGAAAAGCAAGTGCTCAGGTGCAATGCAAGGAAGTGTGTTCTTTACTGGTGCTGATTGGAAGCCTTAGAAATGCAGTGGACACTTCCTGCAAGTTGTTCCTCACTCTCCCCCAAAAGAGCCCTGATCCCTCTAACCCCTCTCACGGCCAACAGACTCTGTGGGGTCTGAATGCTCCTCAGTGGCTTCAGTTGCTGCTCACCTGATGGAGTCTGTCCGCGACAGAGTTGAGCGGAGCTGTCCTTGTGCTGGCCACTCCTAACTCTCAGAAAGTGGGCCTCTGATGGTGAGTCCCCAAGGGCTCAGGTTGCGGGTTCCTTCCCCCCTAAAAATAAACAAACAAACATAATGTTTTTTTTTAAAATAGGCCCCAGGCCCTGTGAACGCGTGCACAGGTCCTCTGTGTGCCCCCCACAGTCCCCCGAACAGTTATCACAGCTCTCATTCTACAGATGGAGAAACCGATGCCCAGAGACATTAAGTACCTTGTTCAAGGTCACAGCACTGAAGTCCAGACAGAGCCAGCGCCTGGACTCCAGGTCTACAGCAGCGATTAGTGGTGAGGACTAGACGGAAGGTGCGTTCCCAGGACCTGCTGCCCAGCAGGTGCCCACTCTCTGCAAGTGCCCTACCCTCCACTCTCACCAGCAAGCTCTCCTCCTGACCGGCCACCCTTGCGCCACCCCAGCGCAGGCTGTGTCTCCCCTGCGGGAGATTCAACTGTCTCCCGACCCCTCCAGGAGAAGGATCGTGCGCATCAGGACCGCTGGCTGAGAGTAGGGGTGCTGGGGGCAAGGTGTTTAGAACTCGCAGGGCCCTGTGACTCGGGGGTGCCCAGGGCAGCGAGCAAGGACCAATGCCGCGGGCACCCTAAGAGCGCTAGTCCTGGCATCCGCCACCTGTACGAGCTATCCCCCGAGGGTGCCCCCATCAGGAATGCCTTGCACTCCTGGTGATGATTATTACCCTCAGTGTCTCCCGCCTTCACTCTCTCCACTCTCCTCTTCAGCCCCCGACGTCCTCCAGCGCCCTCGCTTAACCTCGGTCGGTTCCGCTGCCGCTGGGCCGCTGGGGAAGCGCGCGAGCTGCTGGGCTGTCCCCAGCTCCGCTCAAACGGCTCCGAGCCGCGGCGTTTACCCGTTGCCTAGCAATCCGACGGGCCCGAGGACGCGGAGGCGGAGGGGCGAGTGGAGCACGTGACCTCGCGTCCCCGGCTTGACCCGAGCGCACGGATCCCTCCTCCTTCCTCCAGAGGTCTCTAGAGTTAGGAAGGAAATTAAGCACCAAGTTAGCCAAACGCCAGGCACGATGAGCGTTTGTAGCCAAGTCTTCAAATGTGCCCTGGGCAGGCTACGGAGGAAACGCCAATTTGTAATCAGGGCTCCGAAGTCCTGAGTCCTGATTGGTGATGTGGATGCGGAGTTCTGCTGTTTATTGATTTGCTTATTATCTGGCAGATCGTTTGCCTTCCCCCTCTGCAGGGTCCTTAGCCACCATGTGGCAGTTATAACCCCAGCCCCCATTCTGCTGCCACGTCGCCCCCCGAGCGTCATATAAGAATCCGAAGTCTGACCAAATGGCCGCAACGGGAAGACCCACGGCAGCAGCCCAACTCCACAGCGTTGCACGGAGGCCCCCAGCTGGGGCTCTGGCTCTTGCTCTAAGTTACCACCTCTGCGCCTCTGTTGGCTTATTTGCAAAATGAGTGACCCCAGAGGGTTATTGGTGGGTTTGGTGAACAAGTGACGGAAATACTTGGGACAGTTCCTGCTACAGTGCAGGGGTTCGATGCATGCTGCTTATTATCAGCAACCTTTCCAGCGAAGACCTTTGGAGAAAGACTGGCAGAAACAGGTCTGAGTGCAGAGTAGCCAGGGGCCAAAGGAGGCCACAACATTCAGTCAGTGGCCCCATCTCTCAGTCCTCATGCTGAAATCGCTTCTGAAATCTGCTTCGAAGCTCTGACCACATAACCCAGCCAGAAGGGGCCCCCCAGTCCCCGCCCCCCCCCCCATGCCCACAGCGGAGGAAATTAGACACTGAGCACACGTTTTAGTAAAGTGGTTTATTTGTCCTCCAGGTGGGGGTGCACGTGCACCAAGCAGAGCTGTGCCCACCTGGCTCCTTGGAGCACCTTGCAAGGGTTCTGGTTTAGTTTACATGTTAAAAACAACTCTCTAGTGGCCAATAATGAAAGATTACGAAGCAACAGCTTGTCACAGTTTCTACCTGCCCGACGTGGTAGCCACACAAAGGGATGTTTATGGCAGACCGTTCATACAAGTTAATGCAGCTGAGTCCTGGCTGCCCTGTGGCCCATTGTTGTGGGGGCTGGGCTGGGGGCTGAGACCCATGCCGCTGTCATTGTTTTGATGCAGATAGAGCCCCTGTCCCAAGCCATGCCACCCTGTCCCTGCTTTGGCGTGTGAGGCCGTGGAGGCTTCAGCGCTGGGCCCTCCGACTGGGCAGGGTGTTGGCAGCAGCAGACCCTACTCTGGCTCCTCAGCCGGCAGAAGGATGGGTCATTATTTTTTTCTTGGTTACCAAGCTCCCTCTCACCTTGCAGGTACAGCGCAGGGATCTGGGGCAAGAGGACGGGGGAGGTAAGGCTAAAACCTTTACTGACAAATTCACCTGCAGACAAGAGGGAAGGGGACGCTGGCCTGGTCATTCATTCCCCTGGAGGCGGCTGTTCGTGCTGTTTGCCCTTCCTTCCTCTCTTAAAGGATCGGTTGTGGGGGGCGGGGGATGCACCCAGTTCCCATCAAAAAGCAGTTTAGGACAGGAAGTCTCGCTGATTTTTATTTTATTTAAAAATCCCCTCTCCCCCACCCCCAGATCCTTAAAGAACTGGCTGGTGGTGGCAAACTCTGAAAAGGAATGGCAGACAAATCAAGTGTAAGGAATGAGCCCGAGTCCGTTGTAGAAACTGGGTGTGCTCCGAGATTCAAGTCTTTGGACAAAGTATTTAAAACACGGGGTGGAGGGGGGAAGAGTTACAGTTGCGTTCAAAGTGTGTGTTAGTACCTGAGACCGCCCCTACCTGTGGCGAACAAACTCACAGCATCGCTTTTGGAAGGGAGAGTTGCAGAAAGGCCAGCAGGATGGGGAAGGCTTTCGCCCCCCTTCCCGCCGGGCATCACTGTAGAAACCCACCAGGGTTGGTCCCCCAGCCCTGGGGCCACCTGCTCCCTCCCCAGAGCTCTCCAACCCCTTCCCTCTGTGGCTCGGAAGAGGCCACCAGGCCCTGGGAGACCGATTTGGACAGTTTCTGGTCTCACTGGGAATACCACCTTCCTTAAAAACATCTCCCGATCAGCAATTCCACCTTTACCTACAGAAAAATGCTGCCATCCACGTGGCCAGAGGGTGGTCGCTGGGACCCTGGGGCCTGACCCGGCCCCTCCTCACTGTTCTGCCCCACCCCGAAAGGGTGGGGCGTAGGGGTGAGCTGAGCCAGGCTGCCTGTGTAGGGACAGCCAAGCAACTGGGGGACACTTCTGGTGTGGAGAGGAGGCCGGCAGAGGGAGAGGCTGGTCTTCCATCTGCCCGGGGGCAGCCGCGCCCAGGATGATTCTGCCTGACTCTCAGTGGCCCCTCTGTGGGAACAGGGTCCTCCCGGTCCTGAGACCAGTTTCCAGATGCCTTTGGTTTCCACTGAAGAAACGCAGCTCTCGTGTGAGTCCGTGACAAACCAGAGCGGGCCAAGGAGGCAGCGCCCTCTGAAAGGCGGTTAGGCCGGGAACTCGCGGCCGTAGTGCCTCGGGTGTTCATCCGCCAGGGACAGGTAGGTGGCCCTCATGCTGGGAGTGTACTGCGGGAGAGAGAGGAGGGGACAGTCGGAACAGGGCCACACCACGTCACCAGTCACAGTGGACCCTGTCCTAGCGAAGGCACCAGGAATTCCTGAGGAAGAGAGAGCCGGACCAGTGACAGTTAGCCACAGTGGTCAGGGACCATGGTTTTTTTATTTTTTAAGATTTTTGAAAGAGAAGGGAAGGAGGAAGAGAGGGAGAGAAACATCGGCCAGGTGCCGCTCTTACACGCCCCGACCAGAGGCCGAACCTGCAGCCCAGGCGTGTGCCCTGACCGGGAGTTGAACTGGCGACCTTTTGCTTTGTGGGACACCCCACCAACTGAGCCACACCGCAGGGCGGGCACCAAGTTCTAATGACAGGGCATCATGGGGACTGGAGGAACTAGAGTGGCCCGGGAAGGCTTCCTGTCTGAGGTGTGCCCGCCCCAGGGACCAGCAGGGACCCCCGGCTCCCAGCCTCAAATGCACGGTGCCCGCACTGACCAGCCACTCTCCCTCCGAGGTGCCTGCTGAGTCCACCTGGACTCGACCTTGCTCCCTGTTCTTGAGCCTTGCAAGTAAGGTCAGTCCTTGCTTGTCCCTGCTAATGGCAGAGACAGTGGCCTGGATCTTTCAAAGCAGAAGGTCATCTGAAAGTCATTTCTATTTGGCATTGTGGTGCTTTGAGTAATTTATTCCTCACAGCAGCAGACGCCCCCTCATTATCTGCGCTCAGATTCACGTGATAATCAACCCGCATTCCTGGGTCCCCTGCAGCTGGTGGCAAGGAACGGAACTGGGGAGGCTTCCGGTTAGAGAGAAAAGCTAGGGGGCTGTTTCGAAGGTGCTGACTTCCGCCCACCCACTCTCCCGGCCTCGGGGGCCCTGGACTGAAGAGCTCACCTAGGTTTAGTGCTGTTTCTGAAAGTTCAGTGGGGGAGGCGCCCAGGGCAAGAACTGCCAGGTGGGGTCACGGTCACACAGGGAGAGACGGATGGCTGGTCAGAGCAGCTTCTCCACCTCAACGCTAGGGACCCTGGGGCCGGCCACTGTTCGCGGTGGGGGCCATCCCATGTGCTGCAGGGGCATAGCAGTATTCCCGGTCCCCGGCCCCCACGAGGTGCCAGAAGCAGCTGCTCCCAGATTTGAAAACCAAAATGACAAGAGACATGGCCAGACTTCCCCTGGGGACTTCCCCTGGGGGGCACGATCGTCAGGTGAGGCCCACTGCTCTGAGGTGCACCTCAGCACCACCTGCTCCACAGGACCTTCGTGGGGCAGCGGGGACGGTTCCCCCTCTAGGTCCCTCCTGAAGTACCAGTGACACTTATTATCAGCAGCTTTGCTGGCTGTCCCCTCCTGCAGGCCATGAGCTTCTTGAAGACCGGGGCTGGGTCCCATCTCTTCCACCTGGGTCTGGCGCTGTGCTTTTCGCCAGGAGCCCTTGCTGGACACCATGAGCATCCTGGTCCTCAGGGACCAGGCCTGTGTCACTGATCCCATGGCCCTGGGTCTCCAGTGCTCCTAGTTTATCAACTGGACGATCCCTTCCAAACTGCCTGCAGGGGGTAAGTGAAGGGCCTTGTCTGGCTGAGTGAAGGCAGAGGCCCCTCCCCGAGAGGCACCTGGCGCAAGGACCCCTGTCCACCCCCGCCCACCCGTCGTGGGAGCCCGAGTTACCGTGGGGGGCGGGGAGCCTCTTCCGATGAGCGGCGTGTTCTCGTAGCGGGGGTTCCCGCCAAAGAGCACAGCTTGGTTCCTGCGGGGCAGAGAGGAGAGCTCAGTACGGGGAGGCATGGGGAAGGGACTTGGACTTCCACAGGGGGACCTGTGGGAGATGCCGGTTCTCGGCCCCGAGACCCACCCCGTGGGCTCCTGGAGAAAGGCCTGGCATCTGTACGGTAAGATCTTCACCCCACACACGTGTGCGTGCAGGGGTCACGTGACTAAATGCTCGCTGGCTGCCTCCCTCCCTCCCAGGCATTCCAGGCTGCAGCGAGGGGACCACCGCCCGCCTTTGACGCCTTCCTCCCTGCCTGGCTCCCCGGACCTGCAGACCTCTCTCCCCTGGGCCAGGCCATGCGAGGGGGGCCCCCGGGGGCCCCTGCCGTACATGTACTCCGAGACGGGGGCGTTGGAGACGGTCTGGGCCGGGGGCTGCAGGCTGGTCTGGCTGCCCAGGCCGCTGCTGTAGCTGCAGAAGCTGTGAAGCTGCCCCCGTGCTGGGTTGTGGGCGGCGATGCGCCGGGCCTGGGGGTTGAAGGGGTCGTCGTCATCGATGTCATCGTAGTCTCTGTCCCTACAATGACACACAGGACACGGCTGACCATGAAGGGCGAGAGAAGCTCCAAGGCAGTGGGGTCCCAGCCCAGGACGCTCCCTCTGGCCACAGGTGTGTCCTTGAACTTCCTCTGAGACACGGTTCCCGGCTTTGCCTCCCACAGATCACTCGTTCTCAGTTCACATCCGCCTCCTCCAGGCAGCCCGCTGTGCTGACCACATGCACTGACCCTGCCCAACCTGCTTCCTCTTGTCTGATCTACCACCTCGTCCCCGTCTATGTCCCCAGTGAGACTGTAGGTCCCTGGTGACCGTCCTACAACCTGTGCTCCCTGGCTTGCTGGGGGCTCCCCACCCAGCAGTGGAGCCTCTCCTCACTCACCTCATGCCACAGAGCCCTGCGGAGGAGGAGAGGAGCAGCGAAGGATGCCAGGCTGTGGCATGACGCTGTCCCCAACCTCGGACCCACTCCCGCCCGGGATCCCCAGAAGCCCCGCTTTTCGGGTCTGTTTGGACTCTCGGGGAAGCTTCGGCAGACAGCTAGGCAGCTTGCTGGGGCCGACGCCTGGGCCCTCGGCTGCTCTGGGCCCTCGCAGGTTATCAGCCCTCGGCTCAGGCAGAGCAGAGCCTCCCACTGCTCCCCAAGGACGTCCCCTCCAGGCAGCCCACCTGGTGGTAAAGCGCTTCCAGGCCCGCAGCCCCGAGCAGGTCATGGTGGAGAAGGCCAGGGCGGCCAGGAGGGAGAAGAGGCCGAGGAAGAGCAAGCCCTCGATGCCGTCGTAGCAGATGCCAGTGAGGGCGTCCAGGTAGTCCTGGAGGAGGAGGGACACGCGGTGGGAAGGGAGCCGGGCGCAGCCTGGGCCTGCGCTTGTCTCCAGAAGCCCCTCCGCCTCAGCCTGGCCCCGGATCTCCCCCTTCACATCCTCAGCACCCTGACAGCCATTAAGGGCCCACACTCTGGAGCCCAACACAGTGGAGCTCCTTGGGGTCACTCTACAGACATTTGCTGAACACCTACTATGTGCTAGGCAGTGGAGGGTTGACTCTGAACAAGGACGGCCAAGTTGTGGGGGTCTGGGTAGGGCAGCCAGAAGAGTGGGGTGTTTACTCTGAGGCCAGGGGGGCAAGACGGAGCGGACGGCGCCTTGAGCAGTGACACAAAGGGACAAGCTTGGCGGGTTCAGGAAAGAGGACCCAGGCCAACAGGAGATGGGCTGAGTTGGTGCTGGGTCGTCCTGGGGGCTGCAGGGTAGGGGAGGAGTTTGCAGTTTATCGTACCATGACGGGAAGGCAGCAGAGGGTTTGGGGTGGAAGGGACGTGATCCAGTTTGTTTTTAATTTAAACTGCTCTGCTGCTCCACATGGAAGGACACGGGTAGGAGAACACTGGAGACCAGGCAGAAAATCGGGGCCCGGGTGGGAGCTGTAGAGCGCGGTATGGACGGACTCGGGACATGTCTGAGAGGGCAGCTGCTAGCGCGGGCTGAGGGGCTGCCCGGACGTGGGCAGGGCGGGAAGGAGGGTCCGGGGTGATGCCTGTGTGCTCAGCTCTTAAGTCAGAGAGACAGGACCCAACACCCAAGCTTGACTTAGCAATTCTGGAATCTCCGGTGAGTCGTGCACACTCGTTTGTCTGTCTGTCTATCTATCTGTCTGTCCACTTACCCAGCACATATCTACAGACACACAGAGAGAACTATCCATCTCTCCACCTATCCATCCACACACGCTCCTCATCTGTAAACCTCCCCACACAGTGACGTGTGCTGTGTGGCACAACTGTGAGGACTGGACGGCACGTCGACACAACACACACAGGACAAGGTGCAGAGCAGAACCAAGTCCAGTCAGAGGCAGCCGTGACCATGAGCATGACCGTTTGCCCTGTATCCGCCTGAGATGTGAGAGCTGTCAGTGCACCTGGTCTACTGCTTTGTGGGGAGGGGGGGCTCCCATACTCCTAGTGTGTTCCCTGCATTAGTGTCTGACCGTTCAAATTCCCGGAGAGAGATGGCCCTGGCAATGAGATTGGGATGCCCACTTGTAACCCAGGGAGGTGGATGGGTTGACCAGATGGCCATCGCCAGTGTTCTACAGGTGACCTGATCCAGTCCTGCTACCTGGCTCCCAGGTACGTTCACGGGGTCTCCCTGTCTCAGTTACTGGAAAGAATCAAGAAGCCAAGCACCTCTCCCGCCTTCCTGTTGTCCAGCTTCCTCCCCACGGCCTGGGCCCGCAGGGAGCCCAGGGGATCTCTCTTCCAGCCCCTCTTGGCTTCTCTGCGAACATGTGGCGGCCAGGGCCTCCCTACCCCTGCTCACCCCCCAGGGCCAGCCCGGCACCTTGTGCAGCCCGCGACAATCCAACATGGCTGTCAGCTGCTGAAGGCTGGATTCCGAGGAGTTTAACAGGAGCTGGATTCTGATCAGCTCATTCTGGCGAAGGAGGAAGAAAAGAGGCAAACAGACAGAGACTGAGCGGTGGGGGCAGGGCTTGTGGATAAAACCACAACCGGCAACCTTTAAAGCCAAATGAAGGAGCCAGACTATGGAGGGACAACACTCTCTACAGCCTGGCTCTCCGACGCCCTGGCCTGGGGCTCCCCCCGCCCCCCCGTTCCAGCGTGGATGCTGGGGGACCACCTCACCTCTGCTGTGGGGAAGATGGGCACAGCAAACTGCAGCAGTCCCGCCACCTGGATCTGCATGGCGGTCAGGGAGCGCTGGAAGGCGGTCAGTGCCTGGGCCAGGACAGACCGCAGCCCCATGGTGAGGTTTCGTTTCCCAAGCCCCCCAGCTGCCGAGGGCCAGTTCCTCTGCAGCCCCCCTCCCGCCGCGGCATCTGCTCTCACATCCCTGACTACGGCCTTTCCTGCTTGTGGGAAAGCTTCCCCTCATCCCTCAGGCTTCTTGAGAGGCCTCTTGCTTCTTGCTACTCAAAGTGGACCTCAGACTGGCCGCACCTTGGAACTTATGAGAAATGCAGACTCCCAGGCCCCACCCCCGACCTGCTTTGCAGCATCTGCGTGTTAACTGCACTCTGGGTGCTGGGTGCACGTGTGGGAAACGCTGACCTACAGGTTGACCAAGAGCACTGCCTCCCTCTGAGAACCACAGTGACGCAAAGAACACCCAGCCAGCCACCTCCACCCTCCCGGTCAGGGCCGGGGCTGCAGGTCTAGAGAGAGCACGCTGACGAAGGGGACAGTGGGCGGGGGGCGGGGGGGGGGCGCCGTACCTGCTGGAAGGGGCTGCTCATGCTCTGATCGCAGTACAGGTAGTAACGGGTCACCTCTGCAAGGCAAAGACGACGTCAGGCAGGGGACCAGGCCCTCATCCATCCTCAGTGGCCAGGCTACTCCCAAGCCCCTCAAGGAGACAGGTTGTATGAAATGGCCCAGAGGTGCCGCTGGTCCCGGAGTGCGGGGTTTGGGAGGGACCGGGTGACGACTGGGCTCAAATGGGTGGGTAGCGCACTGTCGGGCCGGCCAGAGGCCAGAGTGGCTCTGACCAGAGGCCTGCGAGCTCCTTACCTGCGCTGAGATGGCCCTCGGTCATGTTCAGGAGGAAGGTGTCGGGGGCTGTGCAGAAGTCACTGGCGCCCTAAGCCGGGGAGAGGTAAGATGGGTGGGGGAGGCCATGGCACCAGCGCCCTGGGAGGACCCTGTGCCCTCGGCCCCGGCCACTTGGATCTCTGGGCTCCGTCCCCGGCAGATGAGAACACTCAGAAAACCCAGCCCCCCTGGGTTTGAGCCCTGGCTCTGCCCTGACTTCGGGCAAGTGACTCATTCTTCCTGTGTCTCAGGTGCCTCCTCTATAATGCAGAGAGAAAAATACCGTCCCCTATGAATTAATCTACGTAAAGTACCCCAAGTCTCCAATGCCTCTTCTGGGAGGGCCTGGGGCCGCCTGGGCCGAGGGTAGGTTGCAGGACGGGCGTTGGGGAGTCATTTGCGCATCTCTAGTTTATTTTTTGTCTTGCTGGTGTCAAGCCCCCCCACACTCGGGGGTGTCAGTCTGGGAAGCCTTCCCAGGACTGACTTTAACGAACTAACTCTGTTGGGGCCGAGTCCATCGCTGAGCTTTTGAAGGCAGGTCCTGCTCACGCAACCATGTGGGGCTGGGGGTCAGAGGGCATGAGCTCCAGTGGTGAGCTGGCGGCTTGGGCCACACGGCCCGGCCTGGCTAGGTGACCACAGGGAGCAGCTCCGGGCCCTGGGAGAGGTGGCAGCAAGAATGTCGCCCTCTGAGCCAGCCATCCCCAGATCAGCTGGGGTCCAGTAAAGGGGACCCCCATTTCTGAGAGCAGCCAGGGTAAGCTCTGGTCCTCTGGCCGGGTCCTAGGGGGCCACTGCTGTCCCAGAGTGTGCTCCTAAGCAGGGGACCCCTCCCCATGGCCCTGCACTGGCCAGTGCCTTGTTCCCCTGCAGGAGAGGCTGCCTCAAGTTCCACTCTGGGCCATCACTCATTCATCCATGGAGTCGACGGACATTCGCCGAGTACCTACGAGGTGCCATGCCCTGTGCTAGGCACGGGAGGCAGTAGCGAGCTGTACTGACACTCACGGCCTAGAAAGTGGATGTATTTGGGGACAAACGAGCCCCTCCAGGCACAGCGCCCCCGCCGAGCCCTATGCACACACGCACCAACACTAACAGCCAGGTGCTCAGGGTCTCCAGAGAACCGCTCTGCACGCAAACTGCTGGCGTGCATCGGCAAGCAGACTGGTCTTCTGCTCTAAATCGGAGCCGCAGGGCCAGCTGGCCCAGGTGCACCCCACCCTGTCGCTGGAGAGAGGGCAGAGAGAGGGGGGCCACCCCGAGTTGGGGACTCAAAGAGGGGCAGGAGGCCCTGTCAGAGGCTCCACCGGGGACATGGCCTCCCTGTCCCCTCCTCAGGCCAGTCCTGCCCTCAGACTCTCCCGTGAGGACTCAACTTTCCTGCCATCGAGGACATGGGAGGAAAGGGCCCAGATGTGTGTTGGGTGGGCAACAGGGATGAGGGTGGGCGGGGAGAGAACGGGCCCTGAGCACAGTTAGGGCAGGTGGAGGAGCCACCCAGTGCCCAGCCCAGGTGGTGGCGGAGCCTGTGGGCAGTTCCTGGGAGCAGAGGTGACAGTTTGGAGGACTCAGCTTGACCCTCACATAGTGACAGGAACTGTGTGGTAACCAGTGGTGGCTACTGTTCACCGAATATTTCCTGCATGCCTCCCACGACTGGCCACCCACCTGACCCCACCTACAAGCCTTTGTGGTGAGGGCTGTGACCCGCTTCGCCTCACTCTGGGGAAAGCCGAGTCCTGGGGAACCTCCGTGACTCCCCCAGGGCTGCACAGCTGGGAGGGGTGCCCGGATTCCCAGGGGGCCCCCCCACCTCAAGCTAGTGCTGGTGTGCAGCCAAAGCTCCTGTGGCCCCATCCTTCCTTGGGGAAGTTCTTTCTGGGAACAGCAAAGGCAGGGGGTGGGGACAGGGCAGGGCACAGTGGCCGTCCTCGGGCCCCACAGCTCTCAAAAAAAAAAAAAAAATCAGGCCTCAGAGGGAAGGGGCGGGAGGCCACACAAAAGCTGCCGGCCCAGCCCGTGACAGCCTGCTGCCCCCCCCAGCTCCTGCCCCCCCCTCCCGGCTCCTCCCCCCCCACTGCCTATTAAAATGCAGCAGGCTCTGCAGCCCAGTCAAAGGCTCATTCATACTGGCTCTGGCACGGGGGGCCTGGCCAAACCAGTCAGGAGAAGGCCTTTCTCTCGGAGCCCTTGCATTCCACAGTGCCCAGCTGGGAGATGAGATCGCCTCTGGTTTCCTTGGACACCAACGCCCAGTGAGAAGGAGCCGGGAGGGGGCTGCTTCCCAAAGGGCGGCTTATGGGGGCAAGTGGGATGCTGCTGCCGCTTCCACGAGGCCAAGGCTGAGGCCGAGGCTGCCCAGGTGGCAGGAGGGGCCCAGAGAGATGCACCACGTGGGAGCTTCCCTTGTCCCCGAGGAGAGGCAGCTGTGCCTGTCGCTCTGCCAGCAGTCACGCCCCTGGACTGTGTACAGCCCTCCCCGCTCCCGACAACGTCAGGATGCCTTTGGCTCAGTGCCCACCATCCGACCTGCCCTTCCCTGTACCTGGAGGGGCCCCCGCCCTTGGGACACGGGTTCATGCCTGTCCAGCTCTCCCTCCTGCCCAGAGGACACTGCATGGTTGGGGGAAGACATCACACAGGAGCTGCCTGCCTCCTCTCCCTTCTGGACCAGCTCTGCTGAAAGCTGCCATGCGCCAAGCAGCACCAGGATCCATTCATTCTGTGGGCACCATGGGTGAACTGCCCAAGGCCCGAGCTCCCGGCCAGGCCCCGGCCACCGGGCGAGGCTTGAGTTTGGGTGGAGGGCTTCCAGCAGGAGCCCCGTTCTTTTATCTGCAGGAAGCTTGGGCCGGACAGATGCAGGGCACGGGGTCAGTCTATGGCCCTTGAGTTGGCCAGGGGTTCTCCAAGATCCCCCGGTAAATCCTGCCACCCCCCAGCAGGCACCTCTGCAACTATCCGCCCACAAGTCTGTCTTCTGCAGGCTGCCACTCAGTCAAGAACACGTCCTCACACCTGGCACCACTGACTGCCCCAGAGCCAAGCAACAGCTGAATGAATGAATGAATGAATGAACGAGTGACTCATGCACACAGCGTAATTCAAACACCTCCATAGGAAGCTCCCCCACCTGTGCTTTTTTGCTTTTTAATATTTTGAGGCACCGCCTCCATGAACTTGCATCCCTGTGTGTCAGACTGTGTGTGAGTTCAAGGGCAAGGGGCGGAGCCAGCTACATGCCACCTCCCACATTCCCAGTGGTCTGGTGTGCGCAGCTGCAGCCAGGGTGGGGGGCTCCTCGAGCCCGAGGGCCAGACCCCGCCCACCCCACCGGAACCAGAGAGAAGTCACCTGGCCACCATGCATGTCCTTACAAGTAGTGAGCAGCTGGCTGGGAACGGGCCAGTGGGGTGACAAAGGGACAGGCTTCCGATGTCTTCCCTCGGCTCTGGCCCTAAATGCTTCATGATCTTGTGGAAGCCCCTTTCCTCTCCCTGGGCTGTGTCCCCATGAAGAGTGACGGGCCTGATGTGAAAAAGCTCAGCCCCTTTGGTTCCGAGATGCTGGGGTTTTAACTTAGGGACCGAGGCCGGAAGCTGACCCTGCCCTAGGGACACTGGACAGGACACACTGATGTGCCACCCACCCGAGATGGCCCTGGTCAGGCCACCCCCACCCCACCCCCACACTCACCACTGCTGCAGCGGTGTCCGCGGCCATGGATGCCCAGCTGAGGAGCAGGGCCAGCAGCCCACAGCACAGCATCCTGGAAGAGAGGCGGCCGAGGGTGGGATCCAGGCAAAGGCCGGGGGACAGGGGACCCCCAGACGGCTGTTGGCCCACCAACTTCAGCGTGAACTTGCCTTTGCTGGCCCCTGCTGACTTCTGGGACAGGGAGACTGACCAAGCCCTGGGATTAGGCCCCTGGGCTGCAGAGACAGCTGCGAGAACACTAGCTGAGGGGGGTCCTGGTTAGGGATGGCGGGAGGCTCTGCTGCTTGGGCAGGCCCAGGAGGGAAGGGACACAGGGAGGAAAGCCCAGTCCTTGCTTGGTGCCCAGATAATGAGCTTGTGGCCATTGCCCCCAATGCAGCTCTCTGACCGTGGTACCGTTGCCCCACACGCCTGCCCCATCTTTGTCCCAGGGCCGCAGGCAGGGCTACTCACAAGGCCAGGATACACCTGGAGCGCCTGGCCAGTCCCAGGCAGGCGATGAAGCAGATGACCAGGTCCAGGATGAAGAGCAGGAGGTAGGAAAGCCACCTGGGAGGAGGGTGGGGAGCGTTCAGGTGGAGCAGAGCGAAGCTCCCCGCCCAGCAGGCCCGCCGACCCTCCGTTATGACAGCTGCCTAGAGCAGGGGTGTGGGGCGGAGAAGGGACTTCTCCCAGTCCTCAAAAGGGAAGTCTTGTACTAATTATTCTTCTCAATGCAAGAGCCAAATAAATTCATTGGCTCCTTCTCCCCAGCAATGGTGTTCAAGCTTCGCTGATACCATAAAGAGGGAAAAGAGCCTAAAGTGTGGGTAGGAAGTGGGATGGAGCTGGGAGTAAGGGACGGCGGGGGTCCTAGGGGGTGGGGGGGGCACCCTGGAGGCCACGTGGCAGCCAAGTGCATCCTTTCGGCCCCCAACGCAGCCCCCTCAAACCGCTCACTCCCTGCACAGAGCAGGGCGGGCCCCCTGCCAGGTGCCCAGGAACGGAGTTGGGGGCCCTGGGGCAAGTGCAGAGCCAGCTCTCTAATAAGACGAGGCCACCAGGAGCCACTTTTCTTAGAACCTGGGGGACCATCTGGTGTGAGGACCCCACATTCACAGATTGGAACACTGAGGCCACGGCCCCGAGCCTGGCCCAGGAATGGCCTGACTCTCCACCTCTTCCAGCCTCCCGGCAAGAGACCAGGCCCCTCTCAAAGCCCTGGTTTCACGTTTCAAACCCAAAGGTTTCTTGTTACTTCTCTCCCCCTCTGCAGGAAATCAAGTTAGGATTGCTTCTAACTCACTCTCCAGGAGGAGGGCTGCACCTCCAGCTGAAGGAGTTCCAGGAAACAGCTCTAGGAGGCAGAGGCATTTTCCCAGAGGAGCCGGGTGATGACCGGGGGATGTATTTCCAACCAGAACGGGGCTCTCCGGAAGCCTCTCTGGCCCTGCCTCCCCCAACCCCTCCCACATCCGGCCTCTGTTGAAGCTCTCAGTTGCTCACTCTGTTGCAAGAAACCTTTCCAAGAGAGTAGTCTGTTCAGGCTTTTTATTGCCTCTAATACTTAGCCAGGCCTTGAATGAAAAGTGCTAAAATATAATTGCTTAGCTGGATGGCTATGCTTTAGAATCATCCAAAAAGCAAAAATGGGGAGGCTGTCTGGAGGAGACCCAGCCCAAGGCTGGTAGTTCAAGAATAAAATAACTGAGATACCCTGGCCCTGGCTGCGCAACTCAGCTGGTTGGAGCCTTGTCCCAGTATGCCAAGGTTACAGGTTTGATCTCCAGTCAGGGCACATGCCTGGGTTGTGGGCCAGGTCCCCAGTAGGGGGCGCTTGAGAGGCAACCAAGTGATGTTTCTCACGCATCCATATTTCTGGGCAGTTGGCACCACCCTCCCCTCCCCTTTTAAATGAAATCACTTTAAAAATAAGTTCCTTTTGATATAGAAATCCTGACTTATTTCCTCCTAGTCATCTTCAAAATGCCCACGCCTGGTCCTTAGGTGTGCTCACCCCACGGTGGGTCCGCTCAGATGGAACAGCAGGATGGAAATCGATGGCCACGTTTGACCTTCCCGACCTCTCAGGAAACAAAAAGATTTCGAAGGCTCAGGTAGTGAATGGCCCTCATGTCACAGGACTAAGCAGATGCCACTGTTTGGGGTCACAGATTACAGCCTTGGAGTTGACGGCGTCTTTCTGTCACATGGGAGAAAGGTACTGTTGCCCTTGAGCATTCGCCTGGTGGGAAGCTGGACCAGGTCCCTCTCAGTCCGCCATCCATGACACCCTGGGAGTGCAGGGGCTGGATGTGCTGCAGGGGGGTGATGGGGAGATGGGGATTGATATTCTGACCATGGTGGGGGGGCTCCTCCTCATCAGGGCCCTGCCGTCTGTCTCCTGCCTCGGGGGAGGCGAGAGCCCAGGGCAGGGAGGTCTCTGGCCAGCGGCCACCAGGAGCATTTTCTACAGTCCTCTTTCAGCCTGGGTTGGGGCTTTCTCATAAAGGGGAAATGAATCCAGAAAACCAGGGTAAATTGTGCAATATTGCCGTAAAGGCTCTGACCTTTGCGAAGGGCTTGAAAAGGAGCCAACAAATGTGTGGGGAGGGGTTCCAAAGAGCTGGTACTTGTGGTCAGGATTCAGTATCCGTTCCGCCCTCACATCACCAGCCTCCGCCGCACTGGGCTCTGGGCTCGGTGACGTGCCCGTCCCGAGTGCGCGCCGACCCTCGACCAGCAGACACCCGAAGCCCAGACCGCTGCCTCCCTCCTTGGCTCTCCGCCGAGTGACCTTCACTAGACCCCGCACAAGGGGGGAGGGAAGGGCAGCTGGTCCCTGGTCAGCTGACCTGTGTCCAATGTCTTCACCTGGGATGGGGTCTGAGGAATGCGGAGGCAGGGAAGACATACACAGACCCCCGGGGGACAGATGACGTGGGTGTGAGTTTGCACACCTGAGCTCGGTGGCACAGGCATTGCTGGTCTCCTGCAGCCCCCCAGCACTCAGGCCGGGGGGTCTCTGGGCTTGCGAAGCAACTGCCATCAGGGGAGGCTCTGTGCAGGCACAGTGGCCACCATCTCCCTGACCCCTGCATCCTGCAGCTGAGCCGGTAGATGCAGGGGGTCCTGCCCCATAAACCTCGGCAGGTGAGGAACATAAAAACCCCTTGCACTTGACCCAGCCCCAGCTGGGGAGAATGCTGGTCCCCGGGACCGCCATGCTGTGTGCCAGGAGGCTGTGGCACATGCCCATCCCTCGGCTCCCGAAAGCTCTCGTGGTCTCTGATTTCGGTTAAGGGCTTATTATGACCTTCTGGTGGCACTTCCCTGCCTGGGCCCCAAGACGCAGGCTTGGGTGAAGGAAGCCAGTGCAGCCCTTCTGCCCCGCCTCTGCCCCCCGCCAGCCCCTCACCTGTAGTACTCCACGTAGCCAGTCTGGTCGGCCAGCTCGGTCAGCTCGGCCGTGACCCCTGTCCACACGGGCACTCCCGACAGCTGGGCAATAATGTTGCTGGCCATCCGCTGCAGGAACTTCAGTGTCTGGAGGTAGTCGCCCCGGGTGGCAAAGATCTCGCTAAGCCGGGCCAGGTGCTGCTCCAGGTCCACCGTCATCTTCTGGGTGGTTCCGGACACCTAGGGAGAGGCTGAGGTTGGGGATCTGGCCCAGGGTGGAGGCAGCGGGCGAGGCCCAGCCCTTGACTCTGACTCTGGAGAAGGCCTGTGAGCGGTAGAGGACAGCTGCTTGGGAGCGGAACAGCACCGCCAAGTGCTTGCCGCCGCCCCCTGAGGGGCTCAGGGGGCTGCTGCCCGGAGGGAAGGTGGATGAGAGAAGCCCTATGACCCACCCAGCCCTTTTGTCCCTGCATCCAGGGGACAGACCCCGATCTGGCCGGAATGAGGCCCTTGGCCCCAGGCCCAGCACCTTACTCTAAAGGGGAAATGAATGAATACCCAGGTTTCTTCCCTGCAGATTCTCTTAAAACTTTAAACACTTTGGATAATGGGTTCTTTTTTTGAGAGGAATCACATGTTTTAGCTGAAGAGTCAGTCTGCAGCTGCCTGACCTTTTCTTCCCTAAATGGGGTTCGGGAATACCCCACGAGGGAAGCTCTGCCGTCCGCACGCAGAGCTCGGCAGCTCAGACGTGAGGTCCCAGTGAGACCCAGGGGTGCCGCCCACGAGCCCCCAGCGCATCCCTCCCTCTGGGCCTGCTCGGGCCGGTGCGTTGGCACCAAGGGGAAGAAGAGCTCTGCTGATCTGAGGTCGTCAGGCTAAAACCAGCAAGCACCATGGCTGGAAGGGGGTGTGTGGCTGATGCCAGGCCCGGAGGGAAGATAAAAATGACTCCGGAGAAGGGGCGGGCCCTTCCCACAGTCCATGCTCCGCAGGAGAAGCTGACGACACCCCTGATCAAGGCGGGGTGGGGCCGCGGCTTGGCCTTGCGGGTTTCCACATCTGCACTGCTCTCTGAGTTCCCGGTTCCAGAAAGAATAGCCCTTTGTCTCGCTGTTTTATTTTTTCACCGTCAGCAGCTGGCTCCCTTCTCCAGCTTGTTCCCAGTTCTCGCAAGTGGGTTTGGCACTCGGAGATACCAGGGTGCAGAGGTGCCCACACCTTAGCCATCTGGGGGCCCTGAGCTTCACATGGGCGGGAACCGTGTGGGAATCAACACAGAAAGTAAACCTCGCCTCGATAAGCTGGCCTGTGTTACTTCCGGAAGAGCAACGTCCACATGTGTTGCAGCCAGGGATCCAGAAGGCGCAACCGTTAAATGATAACTTTCGAGAAAACCTCGTGCTGCGTGAGGTTTCCATGTTCCTGTACTATGTACATGAGGGCAAAGTAAAAGATCCATAAACTTTTTCTGTAAGACCACTTTTCCCCTTCCACGGCTCTACATGTTTAACTTCTCTATTTTCTTAAATCCCTCCTTGGATAAAAAACAAAAGCCGGTGACATGCTCCAGGCCCCTCCTGATTGTTCTGTCTTTTCACATAACAATAAAAAAAAAAAATGAAAGCACAATCCTGACCTACTTACACCCCCTTCTCCATGCCACCCCCAGACTCTCAGATGGTCGGCACAGACAGAGCTCCCAGCAGGGCGGCAGAGGGGGGACACCCGGACGTGGAACAGGGTCAGTGGACAAGAGGGCCAGCTCAGCTCCCCGGGCTGGGGTGGGGTGAGAGGCCAGTGAGCAGGTGGGGGCAGCTGTCCCATTGGACGGAGTAAATGGAGCGGTGGTCCTGGACCACCAGCAGCAGGGGCATCGGCCGGGAACTCGTTCTAAATGCAAATCCCCAGCCCCACGGAGACCTACAGGATCAGAAACCGGGATGAGGCCCGCCCTCCGAGAGGAAGGACCTTCTCTACTTAATGAGATTTTCTAGCAGGGCAGCTGAGCGAGGAGTCGAAGGGGTGCAGCCTGGGCAGGGGGGTGGGGAGGAGCCCCATCCCAGACTCTTGCAGACCCCCCCTGCGTCCTAGTTCTTGCTCTGAAGGCACCAGCTTCCAGCCTGGGCCAGGGATGCCACCTTCTTGTGCCCCAGCTGCTCTGCCCACGGGCCTGCTGCAGGCTTACATGAGAGCCCCTGAGGCTGAGACCCCGAGGGGTGAGAGGTGCTCTGGGTAACTGGGGCACGGATGGGGGGCACTGGATCCCGCGAAAGGACCACTGGCACTCCCAGGTGACCCTTTCTGACCCCCCACGTCACAGCGTGTAGCCGATCTAGAACCCTGCTCCACCAGCCGGAGCCTTGAGTCTGGGCGCCCCCCCCCCCCCCAGGCTCATGTGAGGGGCTTCTGGCCCAGGAAAGGAACCCGGGGAGGCCGGACTCACTCTGACTCAAGTCCCAGTCACCTGACCTGCTCCCCATGTCCTCCCCGCCAATTCAGGCCTTCTCTCCTCTCTAAGCTGATTGTGGTAATATGGCTAATTATAGCAGTTACAATGACGGCTCTCATCGTCACTCTCACCCCTACTCAGAGGGTACATTGCAGACCACCAGGCACTGTCAGGGACGGTGTCTCATCTAACATCATGTATCTGACATGCAGCTTGCACCCCTGGGATCTGGGTGCCCTCAGGATCTGCCGCCTCCCCGGGAGCCCCTGGGGCGGGAACACTGGGTGCCCAGCCCAAGGCCCAAAGCAGCCCTGGAGGCCCTGCCTCTGGTGGAGCCCAGGAGCCGGGAGACCTTGGGGCTCAGCCAGAGGAGGCGGGAGGTGGCTTTTGTCACAATGGAAGACTTTCCCGCTGGCTGGACCATCACAAAAGCTGGGGGTTCCATCCTCCCTTTTCAGAAATGGTGGAGAGAGGACGAGGGGCTGACCCCAGGGACAGACGGAGGCCCTCCCTTTGGGAGCATGAGAGAACCGGACCTGGCCCCGGGCACACACCCCTGGCTGGGCGGATGGACCCTGCGGGGGTCTCTTTCCCAGCTCCCCTCCCTGCACAGCTCTCCTCCTGTGGGATCAGGGCATCAAGCACTCCAGTGCTCCCGTTAGGACGGCCCTGGGGCTTTCTCCCTCAACCCCAGGGGGAGACAAGGCCACTCTGTACAATGGTGATGAGCCAGCCAGTGAAGGTCACGGGTCTGGGACTTCCCTGGGCAGGGGATTCTCCTTTCGGGGCTGAGTTCCTCCTCCAGGGTCCTGATGCTGCTGTGTGGAGGAGGGGGAGGAAGAGCCCAGAGGATGAGCTCCCAGCAGCCAGGTCACCCTAGGCCTCCTTGCACCGGTCAGCATGCACTCGGCCCACGAGACCACCCTCGGCTTCCCTGTCCGCGCCATTTGTCCTCCCCCCACAGAGCTGCCCAATCCCAGCGTTCGGAGAACTCTCAGTCCCCAGGGACAGGTCCCAGCACACACAGGCATGTGCCCCTCAGGACCCCAGAAAGGCTCTCTCAGAGGCCAGAGCCACTGCCCCCTGCCGTCTGGGTGCTGAGAAGCAGCCCTGCTGTCCCTTTAAGGTGAGCCCCTCCTGAAGGGCTGAGAGATTAAGGCCTAGAGGAGCTTAAGGGAGAAGGAGAGGCAATGAGGTCAAAGCCTCCTCCAGCGGTGCCAGGACAATGTCCTAAGGCTCCGGCTGGGGCTGCCTTTTACGGTTGAGGCTGCCTGACCCCAGTGGTCCACTGGCTCAGGTCACCCATGTCCAAGGACCGGTTTTCCTGACAGCTGGAGCCTGCCTCTTAGGGTCACCGGGGCTGCCTAGAAAACCAGCCCACAGGGACCTGGTGCTTCCGACGGTCTCCAGACATTTGACAAGACCCAGGTTCCCCGCCCTCCCGGCCTCCGTCACTCAGGCCGGGCCGAGGGCTCAGCAGAGTAGCTCTTTCGTTCCCTGAATGTCCGCCTGGCATCTCCTCTGGCCAGCCAAGCACAGCCTTTCACCCTGAGCTGTCAGCTGGACCCACGGCACCTAGGAACCAGAGCCGGAGGACACCTCGCTGGGTTTTGGGCAGTCTCCCCAGCCCCCCTCCCCCACTGGGGGCACCGACCTGTTTATGAAGAACTTTTCCCTTGACACCTCCTGGATCTCACAATAGACTATGTGCAGCACTTAATGTGGACACAGAAAGAGCACGAGGTGCATTCTCCAAGTTCAGGGTCTCCCAGGCTGAGCGGGAAAGTGTGCAGCTCTCCTGAAGACGAGTGGGATTTGACCCCACCACTGCCCTGTGCCCCCACAGGATCGTCCTCCTTCAGCCCCCACTCACATCCCTGCCTGTTTGCTCCTGGCAGGACCAACTGCGGCCCCCGAAGAGGGCGGCCAGCCCTCCTGGGCGCCCAGCTGGCAGGACTCTGACTGCAGCCCCTGCCCTGACCACACCGGCCCTGCGGACACCGCCCGGCCCGGCCAGCCACCCAGAGTCTTACCAGTGTGTCGATCCCGGAGAAGGTGTGGTTCGCGTTGCCCAAGGAGTAGATCAGCTGGTACACCCCATCATTGGTCTCGCTGTTTCCATAGAAACCAATGCCCACCGCAGCACTAGGGGAAAGACCCCAAATGAAGTTAGAGGTGACACCAGAGCATTTTTTTAAGCATACTATTTTTAAGAGTAGGTTTAGGTTCACAGCAAAATTAAATGGAAAGAGCAGCGATGACCCATATACCTCCTGCCGCTCCCCCAAGGTTCCCCGACTTTCAGCAGCTCCCCCCAGAGCAGAGCAATGATTACAACCGACGAACCCACGTCAACACATCAAAGCACCAAAGTCCACAGGGCACATTCGGGTTCACGCTCGGTGTGCATCCGGGGGCGGGACGAGGTGCCATCACAGGCGTCCACCATTCAGGGCCAGGCAGCGCATTTTCCTGGTCCTCAAAGTCCTCTCTGCTCCGTCTCTTCACGCCTCCCTCCTCCCTGGCCCCTGGCAGCCACGGACCTGTCACTGCCTCCAGGGTTTTGCCTTTTCCAGAAGGACACACAGTGGGAATCGTGGGGTGGGCGGCCTTTTCAGAACGGCTTCTTTCGCTCACTAACATGGGTGTAAGTTGCCCCCGTGGCTCCCCACGAACGGACGGCCCGATTGTTCTGAGTGCTGAGCGTCTGGAGGGGCCGCAGTTTCCTTGTCCGTCCGCCTGCCGAAGGACATCTCAGCTGCTTGCAGGTTTTGGTGGTTATGAACAGAGCTGGTCCAATATCCGTGGAGGGCAGGTTCTCCACTTTACCTGGGACACTATTTCCTGAGGGCTGGGTAGGGGACGATGTCTAAAGTTCCAGCAGGTGGGGTGGGAGGTGAAGGTTTGGGGCCAGCATGTCCCTGGCCTGGCCGGCTAGCTCGAATGTACGGTTCATTTTTGCAGCAGGAAGACTCCAGCCCTCCAGTGTTGCGGCTCCAAAGGCTGGTGGCCGGCCGGCCCAGGACCCTGTGTCTCCACCAGCTAGCTCCCCAGGTGTCTGAGGTCTTACACAGCTGGGCTGGGGGACCAATGCGGTCGCCTGAAACCACACTTGTCTCTCTTGAAGCTTCCAGGGGTCGGGGACTCCCTGTCCATTCTCTACCTTCTCCCCATCCCTGTACCCCTGTCCCAGTGAAACCCTCCAGCTCTAGAAAGTTCCATTTCATACTGGGCCAAAGCCCATCCCCTGAACCAGGCCCTTGCTGCTTCTCGGGCATCCTCTGGCGCAGCTCGGAAGCCTCCACCTCTGCAAGGTGCCCCATCAGACCCCCAATCCTGTCTCTGGGTCACCCCCTCTCTCTTGATCCCAAGTCAGACCCTCATCTACCTTGTCACCGTCCCTGCACCCCTCGCTGACCTGGGGGTCCCCCAACGCCCTGGGTTCCCTCCTAGGAGCTGCCATGAAGCCCAGTCTCTCCTCCTCCCTGGGCGCTGAACTGGTTTGTTCTGTTTTAACGAAGGGAAGCACTTTGTCTCTGAAACTTCACCTGGTTGGTTTTAGTCCAACATTCCAGGCTGAACACATCATCTCAAACCCTGCCTCTGGCATCTGTCACATCTACGCGACCCACCCGCTGGGGGGGTCCATGTGAAATGTTCACCGGGCAGCCTCCTGAGGTTTCCCCCAAAACACGCCAGTCCTGCGGGGGGACAGATCCACACACGCGTGCATGTATGTTGCCCTTTTTCCTTTAAACAGGACAGGAGCTAGGATGCGGTCTCCTGGGAGACCGTGACAGCAGCCTCATTCCTGGTGTCCTTGACCCCTACCTAGTTCAGCGCTCCTCAGGATGGGGCCCAGGGAGCACAGGGCAGAACCGCCCGGAGTGCCTGTCGGAAGTGTGGTCCGGGAACGCCTTTCCCGGTGCACCAGGAGCTACAGGAGGCAGGGATGGTGCCTGCCTCTCGTAACCCCCGCTCCCTCTCACCCGGCACAGGTAACACGTGGAATTCTCTAGACCGAGTCCTGCCAAGTGCCATCCTTCTGTTCTGAGTTTTCCTTTATCGGCAGATAATTGATTTCTTACTGGAACTGACCCTCCAAAGTTATTTTTTACTGCTCTGCAGTTTTCTTCGGTCCTTTGTCGTGTTTGTAAAAGATTCTGAGTCAAGACCTGCCTGGTGTGGCTCAGTGGGTTGAGCCCTGGTCTGCGGAATGAAAGGTCGCCAATTCAATTCCCGGTCAGGGCGCATGCCTGGGTTGCAGGCCAGGTCCCCAGTTAGGGGCAACCAATTGATGTTTCTCTCCCTCTCCTCCCCTTTCTCTAAAATCAATAAGTAAAATCTTAAAAACTAAAAACAAACTGAGCTCACAAGAGAGGGCTCCCTGTGTGTCAGCACTCTCTCCTGTTGCCGGTCTCACGTCCCGCCTCTCCCGCCCGTCCTCAGTCCCCGGGGAGACTGTCCAGTGCTGGGGTGACGCTGAAGGGGCTGCTCTCTGCGGGGAACCCCACTGGCCTTCAGACTCCGGATCTGGGGTAGGGCGCTTGCCTTCACGTCTATGACTTGAGCCCCGGCCGCCTGTCTCACCCAGCCTGGCGTCCCGCCCAGGGGATGCGCCAGTGCCTCGTCAGCCCCGAGACGCTGCAGGCAGGACGCGCTGGTGAACGTGCCCTGACAGAGGAAGCTGCAGCGGCGGGGTGAGCCTCCTGGGACGCGAGGCCCGGCGCCCTCACTCCCGGGCTCACGGAGTACCCCTCTGCTTTCTGTCCTCCTGCAGTCGTTCCTGCTACAACTTGCGTGGAATGGATGCTAAGTCATAAGGGACTCTACCCCTGGAGGGTGACCACCCCCAGCAGGTCCCTGGGTGGAGACCTGAGACTTTTGGAAGAAACCACTGTAGATAGGAAAACAAGAAAAATGCCCCACGTCACAACAGGGCCAGAGTGAGTGTGGACTTCTTGCCCAGAGGTGGAGGTCCACTCTTCCTCACCCGAACCGAAGAAGCCCCTGCCAATGGCAGTAAGTGAGCGCTATCGGTCCAGCCGGAAGGTGGGACAGATCTGGGCTGGGGTGAGACTTCCTGTGACCTCACAGACTCCAAGTGGCAGCTGGGAGGGGACAGGGACCCAGACAGCAGAGCTCCTCGGCCATGTCACTCAGCATACGGAGCAGAGAGCTACCTGTGGGGCTGCCGGGCTGAACAGACTCACACCTGGGCAGGGGGTGGGCAACTAGGGAGGTCCTCATCATCCATCTAGGCCTCTAATTCCTGTTGCCTTGCAAGAAAAGGGACAGAGCTCACCCTAGGGACAGGCTCTCTGACTGAGGTACCCTGAGCTCAGGCAGGAGAACGTGGCCAGAAAATGACATATCAGCTGCTTGGGGGTTGTGGGGAGAGCTGGTGGTGGAGGGGTAGAAGGGGTAGAAGGGGTAGAAGGGGTAGAAGGGGTGTCCCGGTCACGGGCTAACTGTCGGCAAGACGCAGGGGGTCAGGCCCGCCTCCCACCCACGGGGCCTGATTCACCTCGTGCACAGGGAGAACCGAGAGCCACACACGTCAGGCCTGGCGCGGAGGGACACTCACCAGCATACGAGCCCGGCCACCACAGCTGACCAGGTGACACAGCAGGACTTGCGCAGCTTGGTCTGCGCTGCGCCGTCCTGTCTGCAGCAGCACACGCAGACCAGGTTGGCCGTGAGGAAGACGAGGTTCAGGCCCAGGCAGACGGCGGCCACCAGCCCCAGGAACAGCAGCGACTGCAGAGGCAGGGGACCGGGGTCAGCACTGCTCCCACTGGGTGGGGCTGGGGGTGTTGGGGAAGGGTCCAATCCTCAGGCCCGGAGCTCCCACGGGGTGATGGGTACGGGAGCCGGGACGAGTGAGGTGTTTGCCGTCCTTCCTCCTGCTCTGAACACAGAGCCAGGCACTCGGGCAGGGTCTGGGGAGGATCGGAGAACGATGAACAGGCAGGCTGTGGTCAGCTGGGCAGGAGGTGAGGGCCGAGGAACAGCTGATGGATGGCCCTGAGGCCCACGGCTGACATACCTGGATGACACATGGACTAGTAGGCCTTGCCTGATGGGTGTCCACTGGCAGTGAGGGCTGTGGGTGACAAGTGCGACTGAGGGAGGCAGACAGGGAGAGGGACATCCCTGTGAACCGGGGCATGGAGGCCTCCTGGAGAGCTCAGAAGCCCAGAGGGACTTGTGGCCTGGCATGTCTGCTTCCCCGGAGTCTTGTCCCAGGTGTTGGTGTTCATCCAGAGAAAGGAGAAGCCAGCACTGAGCTGGGGGGGGGGCAGCCCTGAGTTAGGGGGGCGGCGAGACGTCAGCACACACACTTACAGAGTCCCTCTCACCACATCTGAACAGGAGGACAGTGACCCCCACGTGCCAGAGGCGGTAGCAGCACCCCGAATTCTGTACGGGGAGAGGTGCATCCTCAAGCCCACTGAGAACCTCAAGGGCCTACAGAAAGCTGCCGTCTGTCAGGGGGCCTGCGCCCCACGCTGCGCCCTCCAATCTCTTGTCCAGCCAGATGGGCACCAGATGGCACCCAGATGGGTGGCCACCGGCCAGGGTTGGACCTGGCTGTCAGTCAGGCTCCTGCAGTAAGAACCTCACTCAGCTTTGCACCGGCCCCCCAGCGGGTTCTGGTCCTGGGCCCCTGGTGCTCCGGTCCAGGCTGTCAGGGGTGGGGAGCATGTTTCAGGGAACCGCCATGCTGGTCAGCAGAGTGGGGGACATGCTGGGGCCTTTCAGAGCTCAGGGGAGGCAAGCCTGGTGCAGGAGACAGCCAGAAGACACGCACCATGGAGACACGTCTGGGAACCGGAGGCTGGGGCTGCAGCCCCAGCGCCCCCATTTCAGTGGTGAGGCCACCTTCTGGGTCCACCCGCCCTCCCAGGGCCTGCTGGGCAGCTCGGCCCCAGGGAGGGCTCGGGGTGACTTTGGATCCCTGCCTCCACCTGCTCTGCTGGTCACCTGGACCAATGGGTTTCTGAGCCTCAGGGACAGATGGCCATCATGGTGGGGACATCCCAGAAGATGGAAGAGACGGCTCATTTGGGAGCGGGATGTAAATGTGACTTGAAGTGTGGCTTTCATCTTCACTGGAATAAATGTCACAGGTGTGACCAGGAACTTGCCCCCCGACTTGCCATGTGGATGCTAAGTCCCCTCTAGGCCAATGGGGGACCAGGCCTAGCAGACCTGCCCATTCACTGGCTGGACGTCCTCACAGTGAGGCAGGGGGAGGGTCCCTGGCCCGGACCACCAGGCCTGCCCACGGAGGCCCCTGCCCTGTGGGACAATGTGAGGGAGCTTCCTGCCTCCAGCCCACGGCATTCTGGGAAGTCCCTGCAGCCTCAGTCAGACCAGGGTCAAGGGGCCAAGCACAGGGGCGGTTTGGAACCTCACTACTCGGAGTGAGGTCACGGGCCCGGCACTGCTGCCGCCTTCTGGGATGGAGGGTCTTGGTGGTGATGTGGGCTCTCAGGTCCCACCATGGACCCAGAGAATCGGGGTGGCATCTGGAGACACCCAAGGTGACTTGTCCCTCATTCAAGTCCGGGAAGCACTGATCAGTGTCACCAGACTTTCTCACCCTTTCCCACGAGGCTCAGCCTCTCCTTCAGACTGGCTGAGCAGGGACCGGCACCCTGCCGGCTGAACCGAGCAGGGGGCAAAGTGCCGGGTTCTGTCCTGGCTGCCCCCTCGCGGGCCTCTGGTGCCCCGCGCTGCTACAGCCCAGGGATCCCATAACACCTAGCAGACCAGGGGGCCACGTGCAGGCCCCACACCCCGCCCAGCAGCCCCGCTCCTGCCTGTGCACCTCGCGGGAAGGAGGGCTCGCCCCTGCGATGGGAGACGCACATGAAAACCCACAGCAGCTTAATACAGAGGCCACGCCGAACGCCAGACTCACCCCAAACGCCCACAGTGAGGGCGGAGACACAGAGCGTGTGCCACAGCCACAGCACGGAACACGCCGCAGCCACGAAGAGTGGACGGCAGCTGCCCACGACCACGTGGGTGACCCCTGGATGCCATGTCGAAGGAGACAAAACAGCAGGGACGGTACCCTTCGATTTTTGTAAACCCCAGAGTCAGAGAAACACCTCCGTGGTGATAGAGGCCTAAGGCTCTTACGCCATGTGCAAGGCGTAAGGGGCGGAAGGAAGCCCCAGGTGTAAGCCCTGGGCCAGGGCTCGGTCTCCCGCATCTCTCCTCATCAGAGTGACTTAGGTTACCTCTGGTTTGTCGCTTTGCAACGAGAAACCCAGAGCGGGAACCCAGGACCCAAGCTGGGGCAGCAGCGGCCAATGTGCATTCTGGGAATGCTGAGGCTAAAACTGGACCCCAAGGGGCTTCTGCACTCAGTCAGTGGAGGAGGAGCAACCACCTGAGCCCCTCTACCCCAAGACCCTCGGAGAGAGAGTGAGCCAGCCTAGGGGTGAGACCAGGAGGGGAGCTGGAGGCCCCGGATTGGGAAGGGTTAAGTGCCAGCCTGTCCCCCCCAGGGCTGGGAGTGGGGGAGGGTGCAGCGTGACTGTCTGATGACCATGACTCAATGTTCAGGCTGGATGAATGGGGCTTCCTCATCCCAGGCTCCTCTCAGATCCTTCTGGGGGGTCCCTGCCTGGCCTTTCCTCCTGAGACCTGCCCCCAAGGTGGGGAGGGGAATAGTTCGGGGATCCTGTAGTTCTGGCTCCAGGCCCCACTCTGTCCCCTCCCATGGCTTGGGGACACACACTTGGCACTCTCTGGGGGAGTCTATAAACAGAACCACCCAAAGCCAAGACATGAAAATACATGCCTAAACATGAACAGCGAACAACATGCCTGCTTCTTCACACATGTCCCAGAAGAGTGACTGGCCCGCTGACCAGGAGGGAGGCCGGAGGCACACACGCGGCTCCTGCACGGTGACAGAGCAACAGGACATGTGTGCACAGCCTTCTGGAGCCCACTAACACACTGGCAAATCTCAAGCACATTAGCTCACTTGTGTCTGGTCTCCCCGTGGGTCGGGGGGCAGGGGGTGGTAGGAGCAGCAACTGAAGGAGGAAAGTGAGGTGGCTTGTTCTAGGAGACCCGGCTGGAGGCAGTGCCAGGGGCCCTTTCTGCTGTCCCCACCTCTGCCCAGCAGACACGCCCGGCCAGCAGTGCTTGTGGCCATTGACGGGGTTCCAGGCCCTGGTCACGTGGCTTATACCCACTAACTTATGGGGTTCACTATCAACTCCGTCTCCGCTCCTTCTCGCCAGTCGAAGGGGAGGAGACTCAGGCTAGGATTTCGGGGCCACTTCCCCTCTGGACAACAGCCAGGGTGGGCGGCCTGACACTGGGGGCCCGGCGGGGCCAGGGCTCCCTTCTCCACCCTGCTCGGCTCACCTGGCTCTGCGGACTCCAGTGTGACCTCTCCAGGACTTGAGCAAGGACCCGGGGTCAAGTCCACTGGGGCGGAGGGGTGGAAAAAGGACACACTATTGGGGGCCTTCCACTGCTCCCCAAGACCCCAGAAAGTGAGTGGGAGCCCTTGCTTCCTCAGGGAAATGTGGGAACTGGGGGGCTCAGGACAGTCTATTCACCAGGTGGCCTGCTCGTCATCTCCTTCCCGCGATCTGCTCCAGGCCTGCCCCTGCTTGCATCTATTGCCACTCAGTCCCTGGTGCACGCAGGTGCACAAAACACACACACACACACACACACACACACACACACCCTGCACCACCAGCTGGCACTGCTCAGGTGTGCAAGTGGTTTTCCAGTTTCTCTGGTCAGTGTCTGCGGACTTCTTCCCTCTATACCCGCTGTGGTGTACGTACTTGAACACACTGCTGAACCCGAACACTAGTCTGAGTAACAACTCATATCACTGGTCCTACCATGTGCTGGGGGACCCTCTAGGTACTAAACATGTCACATGGGACACCTCGTTTAATGTTCACAGGTGAGAGAGGACAGGCTCAGAGAGGTACAGACACCTGTCCTGGTCATGTGCTGTTAACCGGCCTGCTGCCCGACTCTGGATGTCACCGCCACTTGGGAGAAAGGGGATGTCCAGGACAGACAGCAGGGGAATTACCAAAATAGGAGCCGCCTTAAATAACACCCAGAGCCAGACTGCCCATTCCGGCCCAGCCCAGCCCAGCCAACTCAGCTCCTACTCCATGTCCTTAGGAAGCCTGAGTGGGACAAGGAGCGTGGGGTGGGGCTGGGTGTCTGGCTGCCCAGGAGCAGTGGCGCACAGGGAGGCGATGCCCTCTGGTCATCTGGTGCCCAGCAGTGTGCCAGGCTCCAAGTTCCGGGAGGAGAGGGCCAGGGCTGTGAATGGACCCTTCAGGCTCAGATGCCGCACCTCTCCATGGGACTAAGGGGGATGGAGCAGGCTCAGGCCGAGCAGGCCACAGCTGCTGGAAGCTGCTGGCCAGACAGGTGCTGTCTCTGGGGGCCTCGGGGGTGAGCCAGCTGACCCAGTGAGGAGTGTAGCTTTCCTCCAGTGGAGGGGGGAAAACTATGACTGGAGACCCTGGGTGCAATGACGGGGGACCTGAGGCACAGGATTTGGGATGGACACACATGCACACATGCGCACACACACATAACACAGCTGTCTCTGAAATCTCATCGCCTCTCTTCCTGCAAGTATAGGAAGGGGGAGGGAAGATTCCCCAGAGCCGTCCCTGTCCCCAGAGGCTAGAGGCCTTCTCACCACACTGACTTCCACCAGTGGGGCTACGGGAGAGGGCGGGGCAAAACATGGGAGAGGGCGGGGCAAACACGGATTAGGAGGGAGCCTGGCCAGGCAAACCCTCGGATCTGCCTACTGGAGGCTGGGAGGGTAATGATTCTTGCTCCTTCTGGAAGGGCCGGCGCCTGGGGGCCTGAGGGCGACAGGGGTTATTATTAGAGTCCCTGACCCCCTCCGGGATTAGGATCCCTGTCCCCAGGCCTGCAGGAGGAAGACCTGGCAGGAAGAGGCGAACAGCTGACCGCATACTCGGCCTCCGGCTGGCCCTACCGGCTGGCCCGAACAAACGGCCCCACACAGGGGAACAGTGCCTGAGAACCTGACACTGCAGGCCGGCCGCCCCAGGGTCAAAGTCCCGAAAGGGCCCCAAAGCTCTGATAAAGTAGGCCCCGCCCCGTCCCTGGCTGCCCAGCCTAAATCTTTGATTCTGCAGAGAACCGAGTCAGTTGGGTCAGGCCAGACCTGAGAAGGCTGGGAGATTCTGCAGTTCTGCTAGGGACCAGAAGTCTGGGGAGCCCCCCACTCCCCCCACCCCGCCCACGGGGTGAAAGTCCAAAGAGGAAAGGACAGCAGTGCAAGGAGCAGTGGGGAGGGTGGTGTCTAGCCAAGAAGCCGAGAACTCCAGCATTCGGGGTCCAGGTGTATTTGTAGTTGGGGGGTGGGGGTGTGTGTGAGGAGGGCGGGAGGGTGCCGCCATCCTTCCCCCTAAACACCCACACGTGTCTGTGGGTTCTCAGGGGACCAGGGGGAAGTCACCCCTTCAGCCTTCCCCAGCCCTGCTGCCTTTCAGGAGTGGCCCAGGAAGAGGTATTGGCAGCGGCTCTCACTCTGCAGGCCTGGGCTGGGGAGGCGGGGTGCTGCGGGGTCCAACTTGGGAGACTCCCCTTATCTTCTGACCAAACTTCTCCCAAGTCTCCCAGCCCCGGAAAGAGAGCGCTTGTCTCGAAACCGCAGGAGAAGGAAAACGCCGGGAGCCCCCGGCCCGTGCAGGAAATACCCGGGTGCAGGCACAAAGGCCCTCCCTTTGGAGGCTCAGCTCCACCCCCCGCAGGCAGACTCCGCGCCCTTTCCCACCACCGGCCGAACTCTCGGGCCCACGAGGTTCCCAGACAGGAGGGCCCAGGGCCCGGGGTCCTTCGGGAAAGGGGAAATGGGGTGAAGAGAAGGGGCTGCGGTGGAGGGGGAGGTCTGAGAGGCTAGCTGAGTGGTGGGCTGGGGAGGAGGAAGGGGTGGCTCCGGTTGGGGTGGCGAGCCTCACCTCCTGGTAATTCTCATCGCGGGGATTGAAGGTGCTGTCCACCCGCTGCAGGCGCAGGCCGAGGTGCGGGACGCTGTGCAGCCACACCACCCACCAGGGCGCGATGTACTCCACGCGTGCGGCCGGCATGGCTCGGCCGCGAGAGCCTGCTCTGTGCCGCTGCCCCAGCCGCCAGCAGCCCAGGAAGCAAGCGGGCCCCAGGCCCCGCCCCGCTCCTCCCAGGCCCCGCCCCGCCCCGACTTCGCCCCGCCCAGATCCCCGGCCCGCTCCCCCGGCCTTGGCCCCGCCCCCTGGGAGCCAGCGAGCTGCAGGGCGTCCGGCCCGAGAACCTTTTTGCGGTCTGGGATCTGTGCTGGCCCTATGGAGAAAAGGGAGGGAGAAGTGAAAAAAAAATCTGTTTCTTCATAGCACTTTCTAAGCCTCTGGGCTTCTCATTAATTACTTATGATCTAATTAACAACATAAAGTGTCGGTGAGTGCAGCCAGTACTCCTGGCGAGAGAGAGGCGAGCTGGCGGCTCCCAGGGCTTTTAGAGGGCGGGAAACTGAAAGAGGGAGACAAGAAGGAGCAGCGTTCAGTAGCTGTCGCCTAGGCAGCACTGGGGACCGAGGAAAGCAGCGCGATTCTCCCTGGCAGGCGAGGCAGGGCGGGCCTCCTGGAGAAAGGGCCCCTTGAGCTGTCCCGAGCTGAAGGGGAGCGCGTGGAAGGTCAGCAACACCCGTTCAGTGCGCACCCACCGGGCGCCTCCCGATCCTACCAGGGCGCGGTGAGAGAGGACAAGCAGAGGAAGCCCCTGCCCAGAGGGCCGGCCGCACCGCGGGGGGCGGATGGCGACAGCCTACGCACGGGGGTGGCGAAGCGAAGCTAGGGGCTCTTTGGGGAAAAGCAGAAGCAGAGCAGGGTCAGTCGACCAACACAGTAGCGGGCGGCCGCAGACCTGATAAAGCTCGCAGGTGCGCTTCCCCTGAGCTGAGGGTCAGCAGAGGCCCGGGCAGGAGAGGCCGAGGTTCACCAACTGGAAGGAGCGCATGTGACCGGAGAACACGGGGCGGACAGGCAGGCAGGGAGGGAGGGGGAGGCTGGGACGGGTCCAGGGCAGGGCACAGGGACCCTGCCGCAGGGAGGATGGGAGTGGGGGGGAGTTAGGGGGCCGCCAGGGGATGGGGCTTGCGCCCTGACAGCCAGTCTAAGGGGTGGTGGTGAACGGGGCAGACTCCCAGGTTCCCGGCTCCAGGAACCAGGTGGATGCGGGAGTCCGCAAACGCCCACAAACACAAGCAGGTGGACGGCCCTCAGCAGCCCCGTGCCGTCAGAGACCCCCCGGGGCCAGGAGAGGCCGTCCTGTCCCGTGTCCGGCCTCTCCTCCCGGCTGTCAGTGTGAGTCTGAGTTCCCAGAGCTTGATGAGGGAGTGGGGGGATGTTCTCGTCCACGCATGCCCAAGGCTGGTGCCTGCAAGTGGCCGGAAGGCCAGAAAACAACTTTTCTCTCGCAGGGGCTTCCCTTCCTTCCAGAAAATTTGATGGAGCGCCCTCTGTCCTTGGGGAGCAGAAATGAGTGAAAAGCTCAGGCCCCTGTCTGCAGGGGCTCTAGAGCCTGACAGTGGCCGCAGCCCCTGGTCCCACACAGGGTCCCTGTGGGGGAGGGTGGAACAGAGGGGGGGCGGCGGGGGCGGGGCAGGGGTGCTTCCGGGAGAATGAGAGAGGTGCCAGCAGAAAGATGACGAGAGGTGGTCACTCAGGGGACTCTGAGAAGAGGGGCAGTACCTACGAGATCAGGGACCACGGTGGGTGGGGGGCTGAGGGGGAACCAAGTGAGTGCAAACCCCAAAGTCGGGAGAGTGACAGAGAGCGACTGGAAGTGGCAGAGAACAGGTGTGCGGGGGCCGGGTGTTTGAGGACTTCTGGGGGCCGCACACATAGTCTCTATCAAAGTGGCAGCCACACAGCTGTGGGTGCTTGTCAAAATTCACAGACCGGTGCACTGAGCAGTGGTAGCATCACTGTGAATTATACTCCCAAGAAGCCTTACTTTAGAATAAGTACATTTATAAAAAGATAAAAGGCATACCTTTATTTTTTAAGGAAAAAAGAGGCTGGGAGGTAGGCACAAGTCAGGTCCCGCACGGCCCCTAGGCCCTCCCTGGAAAGGGTTTTGGTCTTCGAAGCCACCGCTGCCAGCTGCAGAGGAAAAGGGACTTGGAGCAATCCTGTGGGGCCCTCCATGGGCAGTGACGACAGGCATGACCCAGCCACCGCAGCCCACACTGTCCCAGGAACCTCCGGGATGAGCACGGCCAGGTGCTGTGCACACCGCCCCTCTCCCTCCATGTTGACAGTGATAGACAGCGACATCTGCTGGTCCCTGCTAAGCCTCTCAGGGGACTGGGAGGTTAGAGGACGGGGCATTCCTCTAGAAAGGTTGGGGTCACAACTGGGAACTGTCAGTTCTCTAGGACGCACAGGGACCAGGGACCCCATGTGGGAGGGGTCCACCTCCTGGTAAGTGCAGGGAGTCACGCCCTTGGGACTGACCTTGAATGAGGGTCGGGGCAGCCTTCGTGCTGTGGTCCGGGGCCCCAGGGAGGGCTGGGTGGGGGAGGGGGGCCACACACCCCCTTGGAGGCGGCAGCACCTGCAGAAGCCGGCGCCCAGGGCCGCCGCTGCAGCCTCCTGGGTGCCCGAACCTGCCTGGCTCGAGGGCTCCCCACCAGGCAGCCAGCATTCCAGCCGCTTCCCCGGGGGCCCGTGACCCAGCCCGGGGAGCCGGGGCGCAGAGGTTGAACGGGGCCTCCCGGGACTCGTTGGGGAGCTGAAGGGAGACCAGCACCCCTGCCCTCCCCAAACCGGCACCTGTGGCCTGTCTGGCGCCACCAGAACCAGCTCTTTTAGACTGACAGGCTGACTGCAGCAAGGCAGCAGTGGGCCCGGCCACGGGAGGGCTCAGAAACCCACCTGCGCCCCTGACCAGCTTAACCACGATCTCTGGAACCTGCCTCGGCCACCAGGGCAAATTGTGGCTCCAAGGCGCAAGCCCAAGGTGGAGAGCCGTAGCAGGAAGGACGCACAGAGGGCATGTCTCCTGGGAGCAGGGGCTGGTCTCTGGACCACCTGCCGGGACAAAGGAAGCCCAGCCGGTGCACCTCCCTCCTGGGAACTGAACTTCGAAAGGGGAAGACTGAGCTCAGAGGAGGTGCCTCCGAATCTGGGGCCCTCGAGCCACTGAGCACCCATGCACCCCTCCCCCCGAGGAAACAAACCCAGGTCTCTCGTGACCCAATTCAAGACCTACCTCACGCTTTTAAAACTCTTAACAGAATAGTCAGCGGTCTGAGGCACTTAGCTACTTGGGAATGGACCTCAGCCGGTAAACCCTTTCCCAACCGGCCTGGTAGGTGGCTCATTTATTGGAGTATGTCTCCACCTTGTGGTCAATGCTGACATTACCCCATCTTCATCAGATTTGCTACACCGAGAGCTCTTCTAAACCTTCGATGTTACCTCCTCATTGAACCCTGACTACGCACCACGGAAACAAGCACCGTGGTTCTGTGACACAGGAGTCTGGGAAGCGAGGCCTCGCGGTGCACAGCGGGCCTGGAACACTTTGGGCTCCGCGAACACTGCCTCTGCACGGTGCCCAGGGGCACGGCGACTTGCCAAGATGATGCAGGTTACCAAGTGCTGGAACCAGGATTTAGCCCCCAAGGAGTCAGGCCCGGCTGGGGCCTAAACTGCCCCCCACCCTGGGCTGGGGTTCCGGCTTCCTGCCCGTGTTTGCACTGTGCCCCTCCACACACCCACCGCCCCGGGAACTGGACCTCCTCCCCACTGTGAGACCGCAGGAACCTAGCTCCTCCCCTTGAATGTCAGCTGGTTCCACAGCCTCACCCCTCCCTCCTGTGCAAGGTCTCCTTCCCGGTCTCGGGCTGATTGCACACCGGCTTACTTCCACAAGCATCTGGTCCTCCTGCCTACTTCCATCCACTTATTCTCAAACTTAGGCTGAAGCAAGGAGGGCTCTATGGTCCATTGAAACCACAGCCCAAGACTAGGGGTGCGAGGACTAGGGGTGCGAGGAGGTTGGAGCCAGGACCTCCCTCCCACCCCCGCAGAAGCTGTCACCAGGTAACACTTCCCTTCCCGGTCTTCAAAGATGAGACACCAAGAATGTTTAACATTTTGATACAGGTTAGCGGGTCTGGTTCACTTCAGCTCCTTCGCTGCCAAACCTGAAAGTGAGGCAACCAGAAGATATATTTTGAGCTACTGTTGCTTGTCTGGATTTTGTGTGAAGCTGAAGAGAGCTTGCAAAGCTCAGAAATTAAGCCCATTGGGAGCTTTTGCTTAAAATATTTAGTGTTTAATTTTTTAAAACCTGTCTGTCTCTATAAAGAGGTCCCCATTCGTCTGACAAAGCCAAGGAGACTGGTTAACTGGTTAACTTTCCACCGTGAAGAGGCAGCGGCCAGACCCCCCACTGTGTTCCCTGGTCCTTCCGTCAGGAGGAGCCCTTCCTTTCATTCCAAGGTCCCCAACCTTTTTGGCACCAGGGACCAGTTTCCTGGAAGACAAGTTTTTTCCACAGACAGAGGTGGGAGTTGGGAGGGAAGTGGTTTCGGGATGATCCAAGTGCATTACATTTATTTATTGTGCGTTCTATTTCTATTATTGTTACACTGTAACATATAATGAAATAATTACACAGCTCACCGCGATGCGGAATCAGGGGGAGCCCTGAGCTTGTTTCCCTGCGACTGGACGGTCCCATCGGGGGTGTGATGGGAGACAGTGACCCCCGAAGTGCCTTGCTCAAGTCCAGTCTACTCCGTAATTGTGTTTTTGGACGCGGCCGTCGCAGAAAACCCCACTTCACAAAGATGGGGTGTTGGGAATGGAAGCAGGCTTCCCAGTGTGTCTGTGGACCTCAGGGCGTCTCGCCTCGGCTTTAATCAGGACGCAGGGAGACTGGAAGTCATCTGAAACGTACTTTTAAAGCCACTGTCATTCGCGATCTCAAGCACTCACCTCCTTCCAGCACGGGGTGTTCACAGGTGGGTGGCGGGTCCCCCGAACTCCTTCCCAGTTCGGGGGTCTCTTGTGGTTGGGAAGTAATGCTGGGACCCCCCTGAACGCCGAGACAGGCGACGGTGCACCAGCTGGGAGGGAGAAGACCCCGGGGCTGGCCCTTGC